GATACGCCATGGGCAGAGAGACTTGGCATCAGCAGAGACAGTGAACACAGACATGAAAGGGGATGGACACAATGGCCTTGGACACATGAGCCTGCACTGATTCCCTGGGCCCTAAGGAGAGTCCCATCACTTCCTAGGCAAGTGAGGCCTGAACCAGGAAGGTAAATTACAGAACTCAGCACAGCTGTGGCAGAAACTCAATACAAAAGACATGTTATTTAAACTGCCCTAGGAATCTGTTGTTTCCCAAATCAACTTTGGCAGGTTTGAACTGGAGCTGTTGTGCACAGGCACAGCCTCCTATGTGACACATCACAGGGAGAGAGGGAATGCAAAAGATATTCCAACAAGGAAGAGTGCAGCTGATGCCCTACTATGCTTTTAAGAATCTATTGTACTTCTATCTCATTTTGTCTGTTTATTTTGTCTTCACGTCTCCTTCCTTCCCTCCTTCCTTCCTTTTTTTCTTTCTTTCTGTTCTTTCTTCTTCTTTGTTCCCCCTTTCTTTTTTGTTTCTTCTGCTTTCCTTCCTTTCCTTCTCCTCATCTTCCTCTTCCTCCTCTTCCTTTTCTTCTCCTTCTTGTCCTCCTCCTTCTGGCTGCACTACGTGTCCCTGGTTGGCTTGACACTCACTGTGTACACCAGGCTAGTTTTAAACTCTACATGCTTCAGCCTCCTGGGTCCTGGGGTTAAAGGGCCTTATTTTGACACAACTCTAGAGTCAGGGCCCCTGCCACCTGGAACTACCAACAGGCACTACACAATGCACTAACCAGGGTATGAACCCTAGCCTAAGGATATTTCCTGGTTATTGTCTCTTATGAAGGCATCTCCTTCTGAAAGACATTATGATGGACTCCAAATTTGCTGGAGTTGAACACTGGAAATAGATGAAGAGGATCCAGGTTGGTTAATGTGAAGTCACCGACCTTATCTTTCCTGAGTTCTTGGTCCTGTGAAGCCTTGTTGGGGGTGGAGGTTGTTTCTGAAGAGTTTGCTGCTTCCTGCCTGGAGCTGTCTCTAAACATCCTTCTTAACCATGCCAAGGGAGTCCAAAGGCCTCTTCTTAGCCTGGAATATTATTTGTTGAGATTCTCTCCGGAACAAGGGTCTCTTTGGACCTTCTCTTGAAACCCTGCTTCCACAGGGCTGCACTTGCTGTGAGGACTGGGCCTGCTTGAGGAGCTGGTTTTATGCCTGCTCATGCTCCTTTATCATTAATCCACTGGTTCAACAGCCACAAGCATTTACAGTTCACAGAACAGCTGATTAGCCTGGGTTAGGTGGTCTAGCCTGTAGCTGGTACCACTCCCACAACCCTTAAAAGACAGCAAAACCCAACTGTTCTGAAAAACAGTTACCAGAGGCTGTATATACTTGTAACAACTTTATTGTTCATAATCATCAATACAGAACCAAGTGGAGACCAATTTCACAAGGTGATTTTTCTTTTGCTTATAAGAAGAATTTCTACCCTGGTTAAGATAATCATAGTCAAATCAAATTTCTACACCTGTATGAACATCAAGATGACAATTATGTCTCAATTATAGTTTCATAGAAGTCACAGAATGAGAAGGAATGGACAGGAGCCAAGGTGTGTGTTCTTCCTCAGATTTTTATGTTTGGAAATGGGGGTTGAGCATTTACTGGACATGCCCCTTTGTAGCTCAGATTCACTGTTTATTTTGCACTGAAAAAGTCATTGACCTCCTGTTTGGGGAGTGCACCAAATTCTGAGGCTAGCCTGCATATGATCAGAAATATATTCATCTTGTCCTTTAGTGGCTGGTAGTGTTCAAACGTGGTGGTGTTCCCATGGTTACCATAAACCTGTCTACGTCATGGGGTCAACTTCTGGGAGGATTTACACTTCTTTCCTTGTGGACCTTGGATTCTCCCAGGATGACCCTGGACAACTCCATCACTGGTGATGTAATTCTTCCTTTTTCCTAATGTTCATCTTGTCTACTCTATTATTGAAGGGAAAGTCTGTGATGTCCCAGTTGACATGACCACAGAGGTATCAGCATGGGCAGTAGCTTTGGCAATGTAGGCCTTGCCAATCTTGCCAAATGACCATGTGGTATTTCTCCTTCCAGAACTCTTTTAGTACCATCCCATTAAGATGCTGGGTCATAGCCATTCAGTTAAAATAGTCCATTGGAATGTCACCAACTTGTTCTTTTATCAACAGCATGGATAAAGATAAACCACAAACATTTTATCTCATTGACTATGAATGGGAGCAATATAAATTATGTCATTCTACAATTCTCCTGTCTTCTAGACGTTTTCATGTTTCCAGAGCATGCAGCCTGCCCTACCCTGGACTCCTCAGAAGGAGAGAAGTTACCCCTTCAACCATTTGCTCTCTTGCTCACTTGGACTGGCCCACAAGAATGGAAAATGAAAATGAAAATGTGGGGCATATACACATCATTTATATCGACTGTTCTTCAAACATGAGAATAAAATTATGTGCTTTGCAAAAAGAAAAAGAAGAATGGAACCAGAGTTCAATATGGGAAGTGAAATAAGACAGATGCAGAAAGACAAGTATCAAAGTTTGAAACATTAATGGTTGTCGTGAGCATTCAGTACCCATCTTTGGATATCACACTGTTACATCAATATCTGCTATAGTGTAATTGCAATGTCACATGAAATTTTAAAAACTTGACATAAAATGGCATGCATTAATTCTGCCTCACACTTTTGGTGCTATTCTGTCTGCCTTGCTTTCGCACCTCCAGAGAGTCTTTCCCCCCAGCACACCCAACTTTGGTTTCTGGAAGTTGGTACAGGATATGTACTGATTCAGCACCAGTGCTTAGTGGGTTCTCTAGTCATTGTCACCTTCACACCCTGGGTGAGTCTGTCTTAGAGACATAGTCTTTAAGTGACCCTGTTTCTCATCAACAGTAAGTCCCTAGACTTATTCATCAACACCTGGGAGACATTTGTGGAGAAGTCTGTCTTGGGTGCAAGCTCTTTCTTTGGGTCTGTGGTTCCCAGCAATTTTGCATTCTTAATATACCACACATTGCCCCTAGCACTTAGAAAACTCTTCATCCTGTCTCTTTATATTTTTGAAAATATTTCCCTGGAGAGGGAATGTGAAACATGTTCACATCTGCTATGACAAATTGTCCCCTGAGCACAACAGCCCTTACCCTCTTGATCAAAGAGTTTAAGAATGTCTGCAAATGACTTTTATGAGACCTTTCAAGAGAACATTCTCCTATAGAGGAGGGATTAGGGAAGGTCATTAGACCCTCATGGGAGATTCCAGCCACTCTCTCTGGACCCTCATATAGTCTCTGTGCAATCCTGCCCAAGTTGTCCTTAGAGGTGATAGATTACACACAGGGTGGACAGTTAAACAAAGGATGGATTACATCTATGCAGTGACGGGGAAATCTTCATACCAAATGGGGAAAGCATTTTGGTGACACAACTGCCTCCTAAGTAACTTTGTTAGTAACCTCTCATGTATGATCCAGTCAATGAGCCTGATATACTCACTGGTAGTCAAGGTGGACTTGGTAGAATAATTTCTCTTTTTTTTCTGTTTCTGCTCTGTCTAGGGTTAGTAGATGCTTGTTCATGTCTTCCATAGAATAGTTAACACAACAATCCATGTGTTCCTGATGTTTGTATTCATTTAGAGACATCTTTAAAGATTTTTTGATGTACTATTCAGTGGAAAAAAAAACCAATGGAATCTTGAAATGTGCAGGCAAATGGATGGCACTAGAAGAAACCATACTGAGTGAGGTAACCCAGTCACAAAAAGAGAAACATGGCATGTACTCATTCATTTATGGATTTTAGACATGAATCAGGGGAGTGCTAGAATACAATCCCACTGACAGAGAGTCTAGGAAACAGAACCTTCATCCAGTGACTGATGAAAGCAGAGGCAGATACTCACAGACAAACACTGAACTGAACTCTTAGAATCCAGTGTCAGAAAGAGAGAACTGATGGGCAAAGGAGTTAAGAGTGGGCTGGTTTAATCCACAGAAACACTTGACCTGAACAAGGGGAAGCTCTTGGACTCCAGATTGATGGCTGTGTGGAAAGCATGGGACTGACCCAGACCCCCCTGAATGTGGGTGTCAGTAAGAAGGCCTAGGTAATCTATGGGACCTTGGGTAGTATTTACCCCTGGCGTACAAATAGACTTTGAGTGCCCATGCCACAATATGGGAGGCTCTCTCAGCTGGGACTCTTGGGATAGAGCCCAGGCCCTAACCTGGATAAAATGACAGTTACTGGAGATCCACCATGGAGGGCCTCACCCTCCATGGAGATCGGAGTGGAGATTGGGTGGAGGACTGGGGGACTTGGTGGGGAGGGAGGGGGAAAAGGGGAGGGAGGGAGCTGGGATTAACATGTGAAACAAGATTGTTTCTAATCTAAATAAAATAATAATAATAAAAAAGAAAAAACTAAAAAAATTTTTTATGGTTCTTCTCTCTTAATTTATGCTTCCCTGAGGCACATAGATTAATCTTGAGCCAAAGACATTGTATTTGTTAGGTTTCTATTGGTGTTATAAAGACATTGACAAAAAATAATTTGAAGAGGAAAAGTTGTAAATGCCTACATATCGGGACTCATTGAGGGAAGTGAAGGCAAGAATTCATGGTAGGAACCCTGAAGCAGGAACAGAAGTAGCAACTTCCTGTCTTGCTCCTTCTGGCTTGCTCAGCTTGTTTTCTTATACAACCCAGTGCTACCAGCCCATGGATAGTACCACCTACAGTGGGCTGGTCCCTCTTACATTCATCATTATTCAAGGAAAGGTTCTACATGCTTGCCTACAGCCAATATGGTGGAGGCATTTTCTTAGTCTTCCCTGATAACTCTAGTTTGTGTCAAATATAAATATACACACACACACACCAAACAGACAAATAAGCAAAAACTACAATAACAAAAAGAACCCAACCAGGATGGACACTGACCCAATTTTTGTTTTCAAAACAATGTTTTATTTTTACAAGTTGAAGCAACAAGGATCCTCTTTAATGCATTTGTACAAAACACCAAACAATTGTGTGGCCCTAAAGATAATAAGCCTTATGTCTCTGCAGGACCATCTGTGGCATACCTCTTACTTGGCTCCAGGCTCTCAAACATAGCTGGAACTTGGGATCAGAGCTCAGCATGTTCTCTGTGTGTTGTCCTCTCTGCTGCCTCCTTGGCCCTGAGTTCAGTCCAAAAAATCACTTCTTTGTCTTTCAGTCTGTGGGCTGCCTGCACTGAGGCACCAATCTTCATGTACCCTTCCTTCTGGTCATACTCTGGCCAATGTGGTAGCCCTCCCCCATTAGGGTTCCTGAGAAGAGAATTAAAAAGAAAAAGAAATTCACCAAAGCAACTGTGCTTGTCCCCATGTTGCCCCGAGATTTGCCAGGATATCTTGGTTTAACTCAGCCAAGTTATGAAGGTTGGTGCTCATCGAATGGTTCTGTGAGGGCTGACAGAAGAATTGGGAAGTGGCACCTGCTTGGAAGAAGTGGGTCATTGAAAGTCTGCTTTGCACGATGTTGGAATGCCACTTCTTTATCTCACTGCTTCCTGACTGCCAAGAAATGAGGAGCTGGTTCCCATCAAATGCCCCATCTCCACTACATTCCTCTTCGTCATAGGCTCAAAGTGAAAATTTTAAAAGAAAACTCAGAGCCCCAATAAAACTTTCATCCTTTAAGTTGACGAACGTCAGGTATTTTGTCTTACCGACTGAAAGATGAAAGCACAAAATTATTACTGAATTTATTACTAAGATGTCGAGCTTTCTGTGATTAATTTGGTAAAGTGGCTCTGAAGAAACTTTCCTGATTTCTGAAGGATTTTGGAAATGTTTGGAGAGAGAGCTGTAGGAAATTCAGATTGTAATGAGTGAGGCATAAGAGGAATTTTAGTAGGTTCTACTAGGAAAAGAAACATGAAGCTCATGATGCCTCAAAAGAGAAGGAGGTTTCTATGAGAACCTGGAATAGAGGTCACTCATGCTCCATTCCGGCAATGAATTTACCTATATTTGTCCGTTCCCATGTTTTATAGGGTACAGAGTTTAAAGATGGTAATGTATTTATTGGTTGAGGAGATTCGAATGTAGCATAGCATCCAGGTAGTGTAGAGGGTTTTGTTTTGTTTCATTTTTAATCATATTTACAATGAGACTCAGAAGTACAAAACACAGCATGAAGATTAGAAAAAACTCAATTTTGCCAAAATAAAAAACAAAAACACAAAAATCAACCCCCTCACCACCACCACCATAACAGAGGAGTGTGGTTAAGCTTGTGTACAAGGTGAGTGTGACTGTTAGAGAGTCCTTTATTAAGTGAAACCAAGTTTCAAACACCAGATCAAAATGAGTGCTGCCCTGAGGCTTACTTCTCAGGAGTTTGCAAAAGAGCACAAAGTTTGGAGGTTTGAAACAGCCTAGAAGTCTCTAGTTTCACCCTAGTCCTTACTCTTCACCCATCTTTGTCTTGCCTTTCTTTCTGCCATTTATACTTATAGCTGTTTCTCGGATTCCAAAATGCGGCCATCACAGGCACAAGGGTGTAAAGGTATAAACTTGTTCCAAAGATCCTGCTTTGAGAAATTAATGCTTGATGTCCCCTGCCCAGAGGGTGACCTGAAGAATAAGTTCTCTGGTATTTGTTGCCTTATGTTCAAACACTCAGAGGCTATTACAGGTGATGGCTTGTAGAGCCTGGTGACATCTTAAGCCATAGGAAAACCTTAGTGTTATCCACACGGGTATGACTTTGTGGTTATGCAGAATGCAAGGGAAATGAGGTCATTAAGGCTTCTACATAGATTGCAAACAAAAGAGCTTGAGGCCAGCAAGTGTGTGGAAGGTTTGGAGTCCCTGCTGACAACAGTGAAAGCATGATGCTTAAAGCTGTGAGAGTGAAGCTGATGTTGCTATGGAGAGTCTAATGAATTACAAGTGCCAGAACCTGGGCCTTCTACCCAGGATCTGTTTGACATGAGCACAGGTAGCCTAAGACAAGCCCTTGGGCCAGCAGGCAGCAAGGCCTTGGGGGAAGGGCTTCCTAAGTCCTTCAGAACCCTCACCAACCAATAGATTTCTGGATGCTTAACACATAGCCTTGGGGATTAAACCCTATTGGGCTTGGTCATCAGCTGAAAGAAGTCCTGGTTCATGGTAGGAACTCTAAAAAGCAGGATTAGCTGGTAGAAGTTGATCCTAAGGGACATGCCCCTGATGAGCATTGGGACCTTAGTCTTTTCCTCTATTTGTGCTGCCCAACTGCCAGTGAGATGGAGAGATGAAGGGATCACATTATCCCACCATGTTCCGTACTAACAACCAGAGCAAGTGGGTCGAAGGACTAATAACTGAACACTCTGAATCAGTGAGGCAAAATGCATGCCCCCTCCTTTACGCTGAACCTTCTCAGAGGGCGCCCTCACAGCTAAAATGGATTTCTCTAGCTGTCATTGTTAGAATGCAACGGTCACAGGGACAGGAGATTGGGCACACAAACATTAGAAAACACTCCTTCCCAACAAATATGACCACACCACACCCAAATCTGTCTTGTCTTTGCCACCAGCCTCACCCATTGCGAGCAAAGTTGGCCCAGAATTTCATCACCGTCTTGCTGAGGTTGATCTCCTCTTCTGAGGCACCATCTGTGTAGAAGCAAGAATAAGCTTCAGATACTCACCCAGAGGCTTTCAGTTCAGCAGTTGCACAGCAGGAGTGATGCTCATCATCGCTATCTTGGGAGCTTGTTAGAAATTCAGAGTCTTGACCCTTGCCATACCTTATTAAGTTAACATCTACCTTTTAAGAATATGCTGGCTACTGATCAAGACCCCCTGAATGTGGGTGTCAGTGAAGAGGCCTAGGTAATCTATTGAGCCTTGGGCAGCAGATCAGTACCCATCCCGAGTATACACACGGACTTTGGACTCCCATCCAACAATGTGAGGTGCACTCTCACCCTGAACTCTTGGGGAAGGGTCTATGCCCTGCCCTATATGAAATGACAGACTATGGACACCCCCATGGAGGGCCTCACCCTCCCTGAGGAAATGAGGGGATAATGGGGGGCTGGGGGAAGGGCACGGGAGGAGGGAAGGGAAAGGGAGAGGGACCTGGAACTGACTTGTGAAGCAACCTTGTTTCTTATCTAAATTTAAACTGAAAAAAAAAAGAATATGCTGGCTAATAATCTACACTTTGAGTTAGGAGTAGCTTTCCATATACTGGCTTCCTTCGTCACCCATGTTCATTATGTCTGACCCAAACACCACAGCTGGGAGTTTCTTCAATCTAGTAGGACTGGTGGCTCTTGGGGCTTTTCTTAATCTCTGTCTCTGTCTCTCTGTCTGTCTCTGTCTCTCTCTCTGCCTCTCTCTCTCTCTCTATCTCTATCTCTATCTCTCTTTCTGTTTCTCCCTCCAAAGTTCCTAATATTTTACAAAACACGGAAAGGCCCAGAGACACTGATGTCATGAGAGACATACGTTAGATTGCTAGTTATGCGCAACTACTGAAGAGCCACATACTGAAGACCACTGTGAGAGCTCCCTTTGAATATCACATTCCAAAATATAAGCAAATCTATGACCCAGATATATAGACAGATGTGCAAAACACAACACCTTGTTCAGAGTTAGAAATGAACGCTTCCCTTACTCACACCCCAGCGTCCTTGTATGGGAGGAAAATCAATTCTTAGCATTCTCACCCCAAAGTGCAGCCCATGACTGATCTACCATTTTTCTTACTGGTTTTACAGGTCATGTGTCTGAGAGTGACTATGACTGGGGACACATGAATACACGCCTCCTTCATGTGTGTGAAACATCATAACTGACTCCCAATGTAGCTAAATCACATACATACTGGCAGGAAAGCGGACTGGGGAGAAAAGGAGAAGCCTGCACAAGGCTGCCAAGCCAGGGCCCAAATCCAGGACTCCAAACGCCAAGGCTGCAGGCAGCAAAGAGAAATACCTTTTAAAAAGGGAGATCCAAATACTGAGAAGATTTCATCGCCATGGTCTCCTGTGACTTCCTTGGGTCTCATGTTCGATACAAAGCTTGGACGATACTCAAACTCATACATGTAGGTGGGAGCCCCGGCATCTGTGGAGACATGGATTCACGGAGAGTTCACACTGCCCAATAAACACCTGTGTGGTGCCAAGGCTTCAAACTACACTGAGGTCTCTGTTTACCAGCACGGGGAAGAAACACAGTTTCAGGGAAGGAATTGCCCAGGGCTGCACAACTAGCTGATTTGGAATTAAGAGAGTAAAACCACAAATACATGTAGAAATGGAACAAGGATCTCTTTTGTTTCAGGGAACCACAAAGCCTAGAGTTTGTGTTCCACACCCCACTTCCTCCTTGCTCAGGCAGTGTTAAACTCTTAAGATAGCGAGGTGGCACCAAGACAGGTAAGTCAAGGGAGACAGAACTTGTCTCCTGACCCTCTCTCCTCTGCTTGCTTTCTTGCAACCAGGATGTCCTGTTCATGTGCCAAGATGCCTGCTGTCTTGCTGATAGAACACTGTAGCTGCCAAATACTGCTTCTTATGGGCCACCCCATTCCATGTCCCCAACCTTGGAAACTCAGCACCTTGCAGCACTCATGTGGGGCAGGGTTAGTGCCTACAGCAGAGTAACTCAGAAGCAAAAGTGCCAGACCCTATAGCAGCCTCGCACCTATGTATATGCTAAGAAATGTGAAAGTAAAACATGAAAAAAGGGAAAAAATGCTTATCTGTAAGAAAGTTTCTTCTATATCACAGAATCATACTTTGTATATATGCATATTTGTGATAATTTTATGCACATTTCATATACTACTAGCATTGCTTCACATTATGAGTTACTCATTCACAAGTTAAAGCATGATTTATATTACCATGTGTACACGTATGATTGGGTGTATGTGTGCCATTGTGTGCACAGAGGACATTGGATGACTTCTTGGAATTTGTTCTCCCCTTTCACCTTAATGGGCATTCTAGGAGTCAAACTCAGGTTGTGGGAATTGTGCAATAAATGTTTTGTCCACTCTGTACCCACAAAGGCTTTAACTAATTTATGCCATCTCACCACAGGATGAAGAATACTCTGCCCAGTTTCCTCTCACAGAGTCCATCTCTGCAACCACAAAGGCAGTCCTGTGACCCTAATCCACCCGAGAAGCAGCCGCTGCAGGGTCAAGTAGGAGTGCCTCTGCCACTCAACCATTTTAGCAAGGAACTCACTTCTAGGGTATACAAAACTTTTGTGATTGAAAGAACTCATTTATACAGTACTTTGCTCAAGATTTTTTTGCCTGAAGCCCTAATATTTATAAAAATTCTTCTAAACAATTGCAAACAATTTTTGAATAGTTCAAGCTGGAACTTCAAGAAAACCAAAGACAATGGGGTGCTGTCACCAGGCTAAACATTTGAATAAGAGGACTTATAGAGAGACGAAAACAGAAGGAGGACAGAGGGTTTATTTCAAGACACACACACACACACACACACACACACACACACACACACACACACATCTCAGCATTAACAGTGAAAGAGAAGGGAGAACCCCAGGGCCATCAGCACTAAGAGCTTCACAATCCAGGAAGTGCCAAACCTACCACCAATGTCTTAGAGGAAATGCCAGGGCCTGGGAGAGCAGGTGATCTAGGCCATGTGCTGAAGGAAAGTAACCCAGCCTGGAGCACTGTGCTCAGGAAAGGGTCTTTCAGGGGTGAGGGAGACTGAGCAGCTTTCCCAGACAGAGCTGTGGGACTGCCTTTGGACCTGCCTCAAGGGAGTGGCTAAACAGTGCTCATTAAACTGAAACTTAAAGACAGTGATGAGTAACACGAGGCATATGAAAATCAGTGATGTCAAATGAGCCACGTGCAGGACACTTTAGGACTATAGTGATGATATAGACACAATCTTGAATAGTGTGAGGGGTCACAGAAAATTCCTGCTAATGATTATAGCTGGACAGATCACCAACTAGAGTTATAATAAACTGCTACTCAGACAATGTAAGTTCTGACACCAAGCATATACAAAGCATGTGTGTGCATGCATGTGTTTGTGCGTATGTGTGCATGCCTGTGTGTATGCACATGTGTGTGTTTGTTTGCCTGTGTTATGTGGGTGTAAGTGTACTTGTACGCATATGTGTGTGTGTGTGTGTGTGTGTGTGTGTGTGTGTCTTGAGGGGCTGAGGTGTAGAGTTCTTACCGAGAATCAAAATTACTAGCTTAATATAGGCTGATGGAAGTTACATATAAGCCTGAGGGTAGATAGGAAGCAAAAATATTTTGTAGGTATAGAACATAAATACAGAAATGATTCAAGACACACCCTCACACAACAGCAGAAAGCTACAAGGGAGAGACCAAGAGAGGAAGGAAACATTCACAAAACAACCAAATTGCAGCTCCAAAATAGCATCCATAAGCCCTTCCCTATGAAAGGTTATCTTCTGAAATACAAGAAGCAGACTGAATGCATTTTATCCAAGTTTAAGTTCCCAGAAACCCCACTACCTTTGAGGATGTACATAGGTTAGAAATGAATTAAAATAGATATTACATATACAAAGAAAAAATAGAGAGAAATGGTAGCTGAAGTCATACCAGACTAGAAAACTGAGTTCAAACAGTGTGAGAATCCAGTCTTGGTAGCTCACACTTATAATTCCAGTACTTAGTAGGCTGAGGCAGGACAATTGTTGTCAATTTGAAGCCAGTTTTAGTAAGTTCTAGAATAGTCTGGGCTATAGAGTGAGAACTTACCTAGGGAAAAACAAGCATGAAAAGAGAGATTCATAGCACTGATGACAGGGTCAAGTCATTCACAGCACACAACAATGGTAAACATAGATACATCAGAGATACTACATATGCAAAACACAGAGGTTTTGAAGGGAGAGATAGCACACAAAAGATTGTAGTCAGTGGGAGACACTTCCCAGTGCTGCCTCCTGGTCTTGAAACATTTGGTACAACAAAAGAGCTCTCCAGTGTGAAGTGCCTACTTCAGTAATGTGCACTGAGTTGGTCCCACAAGAAGGAATCAGCCTAGAAGGCGGCAAGGAGGAGGCAATGGCAGATGCAGGAGAGCAGCAGTGGCAGAGAGCTGAACTGCAAAAGTTGACACAGCTCAACAGCCTGAGAAGACAGGGCAGGAAGACCATTTACAGAATTAGCAATAGCCAGGGAGCAGAGACGGCATGTAAGGGAGCAGGGAGCAAGGAACAGCATTCCAGGTCACTGTCAAGTCTTTAGTGACAAAGTTCTTCAACTCCTGGGTCAGAACCTGTAATGCTATCCAGGATCAAGGACTAAGGAATCTGGTCTCCTAAGCTTACAGTCATATGCAAGAACTGTAATCAGACTGTCCAGAGGACTCAGGGTTGGGGGCAAGCAAGGAGTCGGAGAGAGGGATGAAGAAGGGGGAAATGATGCAAATACGGTGCTTGTAGATGCAATTTCAAAAACTAATAAAATAAAAAAACTAAAATTGAGTGAAAGTAAATGCAAGATCAGGCTACAAAGAAAAAGTACACGACTGTGGTCTAGACTCCAATACTGTAAGCAACACAAGTGAAAAAAAATGGGACATCAGCAGACTGAGGGTTTTTCACACCAAGGAAAACCATGTGCAATGGAGAGAGACAATCCACAGGCTGGGAAAATGTTTGCAATCTGTACATGCGATAAGTGTCTATTTAAATATATACATAAGGGTTGACAAGATGGTTCAGCAGGTAAAACTCTTTGCTTCCATGCCCAATGACCTGTATTCAATCCCCAGAAGCCACATGATGAGAGGGGAGTACCCACTCCCACAGGTTGTCCTCTGACCTCCTCATGCATGTTATGGCATGTGTACACCTACACAAACATGTGTAGATAAAATATAGAAAGTTAAGAATGTGTATAAGGATCTCAAACAACTCTATAGTAATAAATAAATACGTAATCAACAAAACGAGAAAGGGGCAAGAGGTCCCGGCAGACATTTCTCAAAATATTACTCACAGGCTTAGGCTGAAGAAGGTGCGGGGACCGTGTGACAATGCCACATAGACTATCTCAGAGAACAGTCTGTGAGGTGGTGGAAGCCTGCACCAGGGTTGAGTTACAAGGGAGCACAGAGATGCAGAACTCAGAGCTCTACCAGCACTCAAAGGGCACACAGCTTGGTTACACTGACCTATGGAGCCTACCATGTTTCTGTCCTACCTGAGAAAGCAAATAGAAGGAACATTCCTCATAGTGAGAGGAACCAACACCCTTTGCCCACTGAGGGAGAAAGTTGGACCAGCCTTCAGATTATGTGTGCATGAGCACGTGTGTGTATGTGCATGAGTGTATATGCATGAAGGTGTGCGTGTGTGTGCATGCATGTGTGTCTGTATGTGTGAGTCCACTTGTTTTAGGTATAATTCAATTACATGAGTTTTTGTTCTTGGGTTTACTTTGTTTTGTTTTATCTTTGTAATAACATTTCAGAAGGGTTAGTTTCTCTTCATAATTGGTCGTTCTTTCATATAACTGCTTGCCATTTTTATAGTCATTGTTAAGCACTATGTTGTGCATTCTGTCTCACCATAATATGTCTTTGTGACTGCCCCTCAGCCTTTTATACCCACAAAACCCTTCTACTCCTCACTTCTACATCCAGTATAGTCTCCCCCTCCCTCCCATATTCCTATCTTGTACATCCCCTTCTTACTCATATTCCAGTCCCTTTCCCCATCCAGTTTCCTTCATTATTTCACTAGTTAATAATGGTGTCCTTTAACTAAGTTGTAAGCCACACCTTTCTCCAACCAGTACCCAGCCCATGGCAGCTGAATCCATATGGGAACACAAGCAATAGATATCAGTGTCTCCAATAACTAGACTGACATGATACTGGAAATGACAATTTCCAGTTATACCTCAGTGGGAAGCCTTATTAATAGGCTAGATCTCGAGAAGGACAGAGTAGCAGGGCCTGAAGAGAAGCTAGAGGAATAATAACACTCTGCTAAGATCAATAATAAATTTTCAAAACACACATGAACAGACCTGAGATGTGGATATATGGCCACCCTGAGAGTTTTGAGGTTTCAAGAGAAGACAAGATATATGAATTATGAACATATAAGGTGAAGATTTCCATGACCACAGCACAGAAAATACTTCCCATAAAAACGTAGAAGAAAATAACCCCAAATCTAGAGAAAAGACACCTGCCCAAGTACAAGAGTCCTAGAGAGCCCCAAATAGAGGGGAAGAGAAAAGGAACTCTCCATGTCATTATAATTAAAGCACTGAAAATAAAACAAAGAAAGGCTATTGGAAGATGCAAGAGAGAAGGCCCAGGTCACATACAAAGGTGGGCCAGGTGGTCTTATAGCTGATTATCAGAATCTGTTTAACCCGAAAGGGCATGGAAAGATGCTTGGCCAGTTCTGAAAGACCACATCTGCAAACTCAACAAACTATCGGTTATAGTTGAAGGGAAACCAAACTCTCCATTACAAAAGCAGGCTACAGGAATTAATGAGCCTTGAACTTGTTCTTGAAGGAGTACTTAGGACTGAAGAGAAGGATAAACACATTGGAGAGGCCACTGGAACAAAGTAAGAGTAGTACAGTCAGCAAATGTGGAACATAACACCACCGCTGATCCAGCAGTGAGAGGCGTTAATGTACACCTTTAGACCTTTAGACAATAACATTATTGCTATTTATTATGCAAACAAAAAGACATACACTAGCAGATGCAATAAGAAAACAACAACCATCTTTTTGCCGCCTTTAGGAAAACATACCTTCCATCAAGGTAGACACCACCTCAGGGTAATCTGATATTAGAAAAACAGACTTCAACCAAAGTGAGTCAGAAGAGACAAAGAAGAGCTCTTCATTCTAATCAGGGAATGATGTACCAGGAGGACATTTTGGTTCTAAACATTTGCGCACAAAGCAAGTACACCCAATTCCTAAAACAAATTCTGTTAGATATAAGCAACATATTAATTGAAACACAGTAGACAACTTCAATATCTCACTCACCCATGGACAACTCATTTGGACAAAGGGAAATAACAGAGACACATTAGAGTCAAATAAAATCAGAAATAGACCAATGTGATACCCAGAGGAATTCCACCCAAACAATTCAGGAAAAAAACATTCTTGTAAGTTTGTGGAAATTTTATTAAATACTTTATAGATTTGGATACAAATCAGGTATCTATAAATGTAAGGAAGCTGAACTAACTCAAAGTATTTCTTCTAACAATGGAATAAATCTAGGAGGCAACACAAAGAGAAACTATAGAGATTGTACAGACTCATAGAGATTAAATAGCATACTGATTAATGAAGAGAAGAACTCCAGGGAGAATTAAAAATTTCTAGAACTGAATAGAATGAGACAACAATAACAGATGCCTACCAGATAAAATGAAGACAGTCCTAAGAGGAAATTTCTTTAGCTCTATGTGCCTACATTAAAAATCAGAGTGGGGCTGTCATGACAGCTCAGCATCTTTAGCTCTTGCCCCCCTTTTCCTCCTGACCATTAAACACAGCTCTTTTCATGCTTGCAGTAGATAAAGGTGCCACAAGATGAATAACCTTTGAAAGAAGCATCCGGTCGATGAGCTGTGGCTCCTGGTGGGTTAATGTGCAGCTCCTCTTGCCTTTCAGAAAGCAAGCCCTAAGATGCTACTTCTTTTTCCTAGAGCATTCCAGTTGCAGCTAAGACGCACACGTGCCAGGCATGTGTCTTGGAGTCTGTCTTTTCTCTGTATCACTTTCTTACCTCCCAAATGCATTTTCTGTGATTATTTTTTAAATTAAACTGCATGCAGACCCTTTTCTCACAGATCTTTATAGCAGGGAAAACAAGAAAGTACTGCAGGTCATTCGGAATCAACTTTTGAGGCCTCATCTCAATAGATTTCATATCTATCCATACCGAGAGGTGGGCAGGCCAGAGACCTAGCAGATGAACTTGTGTCCATCCCCTATCCAACACTGGAGACTCACCTCTGTGGCCACGAGACACCATTACTGATGGGACACCAAATATCACATCTGCAATCAAGTCCAGGAGCAGGTCTTTCTTTTTGGCAGGGTCATCCGTCCCTCCTAAATACTTCTCAGTGGCCATTGGAATCAGATTCTTGGGGATTTTCTGAAATGAATCAGAAAGTGACCACTCGACTGGGTGAGCAAAGGGGCTTCTGCAGTCAGTCAAGAAGGTGTTTTGGGTCATATGATTTGCTAGTTAGTAATTCTTCTTTAAATTAATAGAGCCTGCCGTATCTTATTAACCTATAAATAACAGCATCCCATGTGACATAAAAAATCCAAAAATTTGTCTTTATTTATTTATTTTTAAGACAAGTTTTCTCTATGTAACAGCCCTGGCTATCCTAGGACTTGCTTTATAAACCAGGCTGGTGTCGAACTCATGGAGATCTGCTCCCTGGGTGCTGGGATTAAAGGTGCCACATCTGGCCCTAAGACCAAAAATTTGTAACTAGCCTGGTGTTCACCTATCTGATTTGCATCCAAATAACTCCATAAGGAAGTCTTGTGCCTCTGGTCCCTAGATGCTCTGGTCTTTGTTTCTAATAGTCTCCATGGTCTTGGTTTTGTTAGCTTTAAAAAACAAGTCATTTCCTCTAAAACTTATCTTGAAGGCAATGGGATGTTGATGGGGGAAATCACAAGAATGGGTTCAACATACTGGGATGGCAAAATGGGAAAATCAAAAATGTAGGGGCTTAAACTTGCATCTCCCAGCATCAACTTGGTCTGGGATTAGAAAGAAAACTAACAATCTTCTTTCTTAACCAATTCCCATGATTCCCCAGAGCCTTACAACTGTTGGGTAGGACTGCCACAAGAGGGAGTTAGCCGTCTTCTGGTCCAGTTTGCCTTCAGAGAGTGGATAGCCCATAATCTGTTAAACAGATGATTAAGCACTGTGAATCATGAAGAAGTAACAACAACAAAAAAAGTCAACTAAGCAAACCAAAATGGAATAAGTAATAGTTTGGGGGGGCTTGACAGGCATGGGAGTTTAAGTTTGTGAGAAATAAAATCAACAAAACCAATGGACATATATGGAAGAATACAAGCAATGTAGAGAAGACCTTAAAGGTTTGACCACACGAGGACCATGATGCAGCTTTCAGCAGTGAGGGAATATTCAGGTCACAGTCATTTAGAAACCAAGGGCTCAGGGACAGAGGACATAGGCCACATAGTCCAAGGCTCAGGTGACAGGGGAAACAAAACCAAGCATTATGTCTGTATGCCTGTCTGCCTGTGATGTCCCCTGAAGTCCTTCTGTGTGAGAGTTGCAGGACTCTGGAATGTGCTGACCTATCCAAGTTTGTACTCAGACCTCTGGTCTGGTTTCAGCGTCTTTGAGGTCTGGTTTCAGCATGTCTTTGAGCACTGAAAGACACATCCCAAGCTGACACCAGGGCCCTAAGATGCCTGCTTGGAGAGCTCATCATTGCCAATGGAAAGGTTGGCGGTAGGCAGACAGGACCCTGAGCCCCGTAGTTAATTTAGGAAGCTTACAATTACTTATCCCTCCTCTGCCCCACTTGGTGTAAACTGACACTCTGAATGGCTTCATCAGGGACTGTCATAGCAAATTTACTTGGAAAGTTTTAAGCTTCTTTGAAATGTGTTTATCTGGGTACATAACCCTTGATCAGAGCAGGGAGGATGGTGGGAGAGCCTCTGTGGAGTGCATCTAAGAGGTGTGTACATTCTCACCATTGGAATGATCCAGCCAAACTCTTGCTTGTTGATGCCCACCATGTAGGGGACAGTGTTGAAACTCTTCTCAGCCAGGATCTCTTCTGGACTCTTTGACAGGAACACTCCATCAATCATGGTAGGGAGGAAGGGGTAGGTCTAGGAAAGACAGAAATCCAGCCTCTATTGACTATTCTGCCCTGTTACACGCATGCCCTCTTTGGCTGTCTGGGGGCTTGGCCAGCACAAAGGCCCCTGTGACTATGGCCACAGAGACTCAATGCTTTAAGAGTAGCTAATTCTAGGACTCTTTGAGGGGTCAGCACTGACAAGATGATGGTGGTAGGGAAGTAAAGAGGCCAATTTTCATCCAAAGTAAACTATAAACCATACAAAAATGTGTTTCAAAGTTCAGAGTATATTTTTAATTTAAAATATCAATTTATATGTTAATTTGTGTTAATTATTTTAGATAAGTCTGTAAACTTGTTGAAAATATTGAACTAATAAATGCTAAGCCATTTCTCCAAGAGTTAGTTCCTGGGAGCCACTGGTCACAATTTTTTTAAATCATTCTTCTTTAATGAGTTAGTTTCTTTCTTTTCTTTTCCTTTTTTTTCAAGACAGGATTTCTCTGTAGCTTTGGAGCCTATCATGATACTTGCTTTGTAGATCAGAGTGGCCTGTAATTCACAGAAATCTTTCTGCCTCTTCCTCCCTCTCCCAAGTGCTAGGATTAAAGGTATGTGCCAAAAATGCTCAGTTATGAATTTCTACTTAATCACACATTACATAACAAACCTTTCTTACAAATTACTAGTCAAATTAAATTCATCTCTCTAAGAGAGCACTGTTTGGGAAAGGCTGAACATGTTTCTGATCCTAGTTCATGTGAGTTTAGATTTGATTTTTTTCTCACAATCTTACTTTCTACTATGCCCTTCTTTTTATTTTCTATCCCTTCCAAACTTAATGACACACATGACCACTCTCCAGAATGACTCCCCCCTCTCCCTCATCTCCTGACCTATGAAAGTCGCTGTTTTCTGTTTTGGATGCACTGTGATGTTGTTTCATCACTGAATTCAAGACCAAAAGCATCACAACTAAACCTGAAGGAAATTCATCCATCACATGTGTTATCTCTGTCATGTTCCTCACATTCACCTGTGCTTGGGGACACTGGGCAGCTCTTTATCACTATGCTGGAGAGCAGCTTAAACAGAGAGATTAATTGAAATACTAAATAAATGTTAAGACACATCCTTGCAGAGATCATGAAGAGGTTACTTCTGAATATGGGAGAGGAATCAAGATTTGACTTCAGGTGGGAACCTGACTGGGTATGACATGGCTTGAGCTTCTTGCTGCCCAGTGCATATCATATGGTGCAAAAGACCCCGATTGATTCTAAGTGTTGAATTGGGGTTGCAAGTACATTTAAGTAAATGACTTCACAAGTAGAGACTCTATGACCAACGAAGGTATACTGCATGTGTTCATCTATAAACCTGAGTGCTCTGGGATACAAAGTTTTTAGAAGTAATGAGCTCTTTCCTCAAGGTGTCTAAAGTGAGACTTCGTTCATATTTGAAGAAAAAAACCCACAAGTCATAATCAAATAGGCTGACAAAACAAAATGTGTCCTGGGCATAATTACTGCTGCCTTTAGAAAAGCTGGGAGGTGCAGCAGGGCTCCACGGAAGGCTGCTCATCTGAAGAAAGATACATGCACTGGGGCCACAAAGCCTGTTGTTTTGCCATCTGAGGCAGGATCTGGACAAGAATGCATTATACAAGTAAGGATAAAGGCAGGCATTTCCAAACATGGGAAAGGGCTGAAGCCAAGAGAGCAGAGTCAGTGTGCAGAGCTAAGCCATGATGGTCAAAGAGGCCTGAGCTTGGAGGCCTGCTCTGGGGAAGACTAAGAGAAAAAATTAAAGGGCAGAGAACTTTTTCTCTGTAATATTTGGCCCATCTCTGGCCCTCAGAGATGTGTTCAAGTACTCATTCCATGAAGGAAAGGAGTTTGCCTTTACTCAACATCTGCAATCCAGAAAGCCAAGGTCCTCGCCTCTTATGGGTCTCCAAGCAAAGTCACGATTTTATCAGATGGAAAATGGCATACTCTAATTTGTGTTCCCATGGTAACTCCATGAGGAATCGGGTTGAGTAGAGAACATGAAGGTAGAAAATAATAAAACTTACAAAGCCAGACCAACCACAAGGCACGTAGTAATTGCTATACTACCCATGAGTACCAAAGCCTTCTCTGTGAGGCCAAGTGCACTGCCTGCCTGAGTTAGAGGCCAGTGGTGTCCTTCCTCCTTTTCATTATCTCACCGATGGTCAGCAATCCACTCAGAAATTCCTTCAAAAATATTTTAACTACAATCACCTCTAGCTCCGCCGATGCAGCATAAAGTCTTCCTACCTGGTCTTCCTGAACCTATTCTACATGTTGCTTATACAGTGAATTCCTACACTGCTGCCCAAATGGACTCCAAAGCTAGATATGATGTCTTATACTTGCAATCCAGGACTTGAGAAGCTGAGACAGGAGGATCACAAGTTCAGGGACAGCCTAGACTTTATAGTAGGGCTATGTCTTAAATCACAATAAACAAAAATATGATAATTGTGGTGGTTTCAATAAAAATGGCCCCCATAGGCTCATAGGGAATGCCACTATTAGGAGATGTGACCTTGATGGAGAAGGTGTGTCTTTGTTGGAGGAAGTATTCCTTGGGGGTGAGCTCTGAGGTCTCAGAAGTTCAAGGCAGGCCTAGTGTCTCACTGTCTCTTTTTGCTGCCTGCAGATCAAGATGTAGAACTTTCAGGTCCTTCTCCAGAGTCATGTCTGCCTGCATGCCACCATGCTTCTTGTCATGACAATAATGGACTATAAGCCAGCCCCAATTAAATGTTTTCCTTTATAAGAGTTGCCACAGTCATAGTATCTCATACAGCAATAGAAACCCTAACTTGGACAATACTATAAATGTCTAAGATTATTTTTTGAAGCCCACTGAACACCTATCTCTTGCTGAGTCAAAATCCAAGCCTTTCAAATGCTACTGTCCTTCTCCCTTTTCCTCAGCCTGAAGCCCATGTTTCCCTCATCATCTCCCCTCCAAGCACTCTGGCTTCCTGCAGCAGGCTCTTGTAACTGCTGTCCCCTCTGCCTGTAACACTGCCTCCAAATTTCCAAATGGCTTTCTTCTTAATCACTCTATCTGCTGTTGGCTGGTTATAACAAACTACTAGCCAATTCTGTCCCCATCTCCCAATTTATCCTCTATTTGTCTGACTACAATCAGACATATCTCATATTTTATTTGACCTTCTGTTAAACTCTCCCAGATCTTGGAGTGGAAGACTCCAAAAACAGACACAGCATATCATCTGTGTTAGTGCTATGCCCCAACTGGTAAATCATCTCTTGCCAAATGCTAAAAGTAAGTCTCATTTCATCCTCACAGCATTTTCAGGGAATAACTAGGATCCCCAGGGAAAAAAACCTAAGACAGGACTATAAAGATTGCATAGCTAATGTTACCGAATGGCAACCACTGCTGAGATGGAGCACACTTCTGGAGTTTCTTGGATACTAGGAGGAGGTTGGGGTTGTTAAGAGCACTGTACTGGGAGTCAGGACAGTCATATCTCTGGTCTTCCTGCCTGTATTACTACAACAGGAGACTTCCCCTCTTAGGGAACACAGGAAATTGCTATAATATCACCATGGAGATTTTGTGTTCATAATTAATTGGAGCCAAACATTGTTAAGACTCAACATTTGTAATTGGGGTGGGGAGGTTCTTACCTCTTTTGGGTTTCCAAGTAGGTCCAATTTAAAAAGATTCTATGAAGATAAAGACAGAAGATGTGTTAAAAAGCCATCCTTGTACAAAAGTTGATCATTTGAACTGAGTCTCCAAGGTACCAGGGTACCCCCTCCGCAAGCTCTTCCCTGCCTGTGTTATCTGGGAATGAGCATAGTGTGGAACATGGTGAAGGAGGGGCATCAGAAGCAAGGGGAGAAGCCATAGGACCTATAGTTAGGATTGGTGGAGTCCTTGGGAGGATGCCTGCTGCCAGTGTCTATCTTAATATCCTATTGAGGCATTATAAGAAAATCTAGAAAATTATGTTACAATTTAGTTTCTAAATCAAAAAATGATGTGACACTTTTCCAAAAAAACATGCTGAATACCATCAACCCCACAAACGCAGGACTGTCTTTATTTGCCAGTCCCTTAGGACCAAAACCAAGAATGTTCAAAAAATAAGCTTCATAAGTTTGGAGGGCTATCATAAAATCTTTCATCATGTTATTATTGGAATACTTTTAGCACATGAGTTACTTCATAATAATAAAGGGGAAATGAAACTCACAATTAGGATCTGAGAACAGTGGATTTGAAAGGTGGGAAACTATCCCATGCAATCTGTCCAGGACCAGAGGACAGCTGAGCAGATGAAGATCAGAGTCAAGCACATAGAGTGGGTGGCCAAGAGAATGTATAATGCATATACTTACCATTTTTTGTGAGGTCTCCATGAGTTCTTCCTCTGTCTTCTGGCGCAAGCAATGAACCATAACAGCTGATGTGGTAGTTTTACACCCAGAAAGAGTAGCAACCAGCTGCCGGAGATCACAGGCAACAGCAGAGGTCAAGAGCAAGGGCCAACTTTCCACTAATATACACAATGGATTCTATTTTTAATCTTTCTTTGATTTATATTTTAATCTTTATTTTCTTTATAAATCTGTTTTTAAAGATTTACTTAATTTTTTGTAGTAGAGTGATAATTTTTTCTCTTGAGTAAGAACCGTTTTTTTAATTTTAGAAGCACTCTTGTTTAACATATCAACCCCTCCACTCCCTCCCATCCTCCCATTCTCCCCACTGACTCCCCCAACCCACCCTGTCACTCTCCAAGGATAGTGAGCCTCTCCATGGGGGATTATCAAAGTCCATCACATCATTTGGGGGAGGGCCTAGGCCCTCTTTCTTGTATTTGGGCTGCAATAGTAACCCTCCATAGGGAAGGAGCTCCCAAAGTCCATTTGTACTCTAGGGATAAACACTGGCTCTATTGTTAGAGATCCCATAGACTACCCTGGCCTCCTAGCTTGCACCCACATTCAGAGGGCTTGGTTCGGTTCAATGCTGGTTCCCCAGCTTTATGACTGGGGTCTCCATGTTCTCACTAGGTCAGGTCAACTGTTTCTGAGGGTTTCTCCAGCACAGTCTTGGCTCCTGAGCTCATCCCTCCTCCCTCTCCGCAAAAGGATTCCAGGAGTATAGTATGGCTCAGTGTTTAGCTGTGGGTGCCTGTTTCTGCTTCAATCAGCTAGTGGATTCTATCTTGTATCCAATTTTCTATCTCTTATTCTTTCTTCCTTCCTTCCTTCCCTCCTTCCTGCCCTCCTTCCTTCCTTCCTTCCTTCCTTCCTTCCTTTCTTTCTTTCTGTCTTTCTTTCTTTCTTTCTTTCTTTCTTCTATCTATTGAATTATGCAGTTCTGGCTGGTATTGAACTTGCTATATAGATAGACCAGGCTTGTCTTAAAGTGTCAAAAATTCTTCCGCCTCTTCTTCTCAAAGTACTAATATTATAGGCATGTGCCACTATGCTTGGGTCACACAACCAAATTCTAAAGACAAGACTGTTGTATTTTAAGAAAATTGGAGCAAAAGAGAAAGATACCGTATGACAGGGTTCAAGCAGAGTTTTTTGTTTTAATTAGGGAAAGGGATCATAAAAAGGGGAAAGGGGAAAGGGGAAGGGGGAGACTAGCTTCCCAGCAGGAAAGAGGAGAGAGGAGAGAAGGGGAGAGAGAGAGAGGGAGAGAGGAGAGAGAGGAACAGAGAGGGAGAGAAAGAGATAGAGGATGGGAGGTGGGCAGGACCGTTTTAAAAGGGAATATAGTAAATATGTACAGGTGGTGCTCTTAGTGGCTGCAACTGAGGGTGTATTATGTCAGAACCCAAGGACAGGCCAGTACAGATGCCTGAATACTAACAAAGATAAGTTTGAAAAATGTAGTTGTTGTGGTTTGAATGAAAATGGCCCCCATAGGCTGATAAGGAATGGCATTATTAGGAGGAGTGGGAGTGGTCTTTTGGAGTAAGTATGGCCTTGTCAAAGGAAGAGTGTCACTTTGAGGTCTCATATGCTCAAGCCATACCCACTCTGAAAGTCTCTTCCTACTGCCTGTGGATCAAGATGTAGAACTCTCAGCTACCTTTCCAATTCCATGTCTGTCTGCATGCCACCATACTTCCCACCACGATGATAATGGACTACACCTCTGAACTGTGAGCCAGTTCCAATTAAATGCTTTCCTTTATAAGACTTGCAGTGGTCATGGTGTCTCTTCACAGCAGTAGAAATCCTACCTAAGACAGTACTCTAGCCCAGTAGTAAGTCTGGGTGCTGGTCCTACAGAGAGTTGCCTCTGCTACTAACGAGAAAAGTTAAATGAGCTGGATACACAAACAATATCCCCATTATTGTCAATTATCCCTATTAACATGTTTATTGCTAACACCACAACATGTATACAATGCTCTTGGATTTCACTGCTTCTAAGGAGATCATTTGTTATGGTGGTTTGTCTGGTTGCAAATATCACTTCCTTCACTTCTCAAATAGTTGACTGAAGGCAAGCCATAGAATCTCTTTTTGCCTCAGCTTCTCCACACACAGGTGAGGGTAATGATTGTGCCTATTTCTAAGGAGAGCTTATGTGTACGATGCGGCTTTCCATATTAGACTGCGGGACATCTATACTGTACTATTCACACAAAGGGACTTTGGAACCTGCATAGTGTGGTTTAGGTGGAGTCATAGCCGTTCTTCCTACTTAGCCATTCTCACATCAGACATCCACTGAGCATTTAAGCTGAACCCCATGGAAAGAACAATCCCCAAGGACGACAGGAAAACGAAGGATGCAGATGATGTTCAATGTGATACTTACCTCAGCAATGGGCTTGGCGTCTTTTGTAAACAGAGCAGAAGTGAGGGCCACACCACTCTCAGAAATGGCCCTGTGGAAGAGGTTCTTGGCCAGAGGAGACAACACCTGGCAGGGGAGAGGAAAGGAGGAGGGTATATGCTTACAAGAGTGGTCAGTGGCTCACTTGCTCTATAAATCTTCCTCCAGCTACTCGCCTGCCCTAGCCATTCATTTGGAGACCATGGGGCTGCGGGTACGACAGACCATCATATCTCTTTGTCTGCTTCAAGACTTCTCTTTGGGTTTTTCATCCCCACAAGAGAACATCAATGGGATGGGAACAGAGACCAGGGTAAGAAACAGATCAGGATTCTTGTGGCAGGTGCTCATGAGCACAACTGGAAAGACAGTTGGTCAACGCTGTGCCACAGATTCTGTCCTATCAATTCCATTTGTCAGAGTATATCCTAAGAATAAAGATCGTGCAGGCCTGTAAAAATGTCAATGTGCTTATTCTTTGTTGTAGTAAAACTTGGAAATATCTCAAGATTCTAATATTATAAAATTTGGCAATAAGGATGTATTCTAAACATGAAACAGTATGCGATTGTAAAAGATATCACATGTCTAGGAAAATATTTATGTTGTATTATATATTAAAATTTATTTTAGGTAAAGGAATGCCAATGTTGATACATATTTGGGAGAAAAAGAAAAAGAAGAGAATATGCATGGGTGGAAGAAGACAGTTAGATAATATAGACAGTTAAATAAAATTGTGGGGCAAGATTAGAGAAATAAGAATAAAAATACTGCAGTAATAATCCAGAGGTGGAAATGAGATGTACAACTTTCTTCTTTGGGTTAATTGGTATTATTTCTTTACTAAAGCATTTCCCTTTCTGAACACGAAAACAATGTATGTTTAAAAATACAGAAAATACGCTAATATTAATTTTCCTCTCAGTTCCAAGGCAGTTTCTTACTGCTCACAAACCTTCTGTATATTCTCTAAGTATCACTCTGCTCCATCTCACACCTAGACACTTCACATCCCCATCTGCATCTGTGACCAATGTCTGTGTTCCATCCTCCCCCATTCTACCTATCCCTCCACCCTCACACCTACTGACCCAGGACATCCAGGTTCTTTCCAGTTGGCTGCTCTCCCTCTTGGGCATGCAAAGCTGTCAGACCTAAAGGGAAGCTCCATTCTGTCTTTGGACCTTAACTTTTCTCCATGAGTAAATCTGGCTTGAAGCCGAACAAGAACATCTGATCTAACTCATGCTGGAATTCACACTCCTATTTGTGCTTATTTTGCTATTCCTACAACCCAGGTAAATGGGTGCATGTGTGCGTGCATGCGTGTGTGTGTGTGTGTGTGTGTGTGTGTGTCTGTGTCTGTGCCTGTGTGTGTATGTGTGTGATGAGAAACTGAAAGTTCTTGAGTTCCTGCATGTAAAACTAAGTTTGAGCTTCCCAAGGGCATAGGGGTCTTTGGTCCTTAGTTTAGTTCTGCGCTGTCTTTTGATGTGTTGTGAGTAAGGTCTTGTAAGCAAAGATGCTCATGGCTGGATTGGATAGTGGATAGTTTGTAGGGTGTGCAGACACATAAACCCAGGGACACTTACAAGAACAGAGACACTGAAACCTCCTGCTGACTCTCCAAAGATGGTCACGGAGCCTGGGTTGCCCCCAAAGTTGGCAATATTATCCTGGACCCAGTGTAATGCAGCCACCTGGTCCAAATGACCCCAATTCCCCCGACTGTGTTCATCCCCTGTGCTGCAAGACAACAAATCAGAGTTGAGGCAGAGATGTATTGGCAAAGCTTGCAAGGATCTCAGTATCTCAAATGGGCTGGAATTCCTCAACAAACACCCCGAATCAGGCTGTAAACTGCATCCCTGACACAGAAGTCTAGCTGTATCTCCTTTTACAGCATTGTTCTTTGGGGGATTCTATGCTCATCTTGCAACAGATATGTACCAGGGGCCTGCACACATCCATCACTGCTCTGAGCTAGAACACAGCTGAGAAGAAACCTCAAATCTCTGACTACATTCAGCTCACACTGCCGACCATGAACTGGCAGCTGAAAAGAGAACAGTTCCAGAAGGGGGAAAAAGAAAATCAGGCAAACACCATGCTAGATATGGGCCTGTGGGTGATTCTCTGCTTCTTTTCACTGGGAAAGGCTGCTTTGAGACACTGGGTTGCGTGGAGACCCGAATACAATGAGGACAAAGGTTTTGACTATCCAAAAGTGGAATTACACCTAGAAGAAGCAGCAGGAGCAAAGACTCCAGAATGTGGGACACTAGTGTGAACACAGCTGCTGTGAGCCTTGGAAAGTGCTTCTGTGTCATTATAAATGACATGGAGACATTGTGCAGAGACATTACAGGACTTCCTTTCTCATAGAACACTCTGAGTGAACCAACCGTTGCTTTAAAATGACAGGGTTGTAATAATAAGTTATTCTAATAGTTATCACTCCCACAGACTCAGAGCTATGATTAGAGTGGTAGCAGAGGGTCGCAATGGCTGCTATTGCATGGATAAGGGCTATTCCCCAACAGTTTATTGCTAGGGTTCTGATCTCTATTGTGGTGTGGTATTATCAGTGAAAGAACACATGACTAGTGAGGGACAAGGTGATTGTGTGAGTGAGTGCACAGCTCTAAGAGGGGTCTGCATACAACTCATGGGACCTAATTCAGCAGAAGGGACTTTTTATATAAAAATAGCAAGATCTGGGCTGGAGAAAAGGCTCAGTGCATAACAGCACTTACTAATCTTATCAAGTATCTAGGTTTGAATTCCAGCACCCAGTGGCTATCAACCATCACTTCAGTTCTAGGGGATCTCAAGCTCTCTTCTTGTCTTGGCAGGTACCAGTTACTTGGTTCACAGACATATGTAAGTAAAACACCCATATACATAAAATAAAAATAAATATATCTTTTTTTAAATTTAGAATAGCAAGGTCTCTGTTATCCCTAGCTTTCCACCTCGTCATGTAGTCTTTTCATGTACACTCTGTTCTTCTATAATGTTCAATTTTTTTCCTTCCAAGGGCCCTCAACAATAGCCTTGTTAATGAAACTAGTCAATCTTGCACTTTCAGTCTCTCAAACCTTGTGTTAAATAAAACTGCTTTGTAATTAACTCGCTTCGGGTATTTTGTCTTATTGACAGAAACAGACCAATGTAATGGCTAATATGGAGAGAGGCAAGTACAAAATCTTACCTGAAGAATCCCCAAATGCCAAGGCGGTACTGAATGGTCACCACTACCACATTTTCGTGGGCAGAGAGGGCCAGTCCATCATAGGTAGATGCGCCACCCACTACCAGTCCTCCTCCATGGATCCACACCATCACCTGGACAAGAGCATAATCAACCTTGCAGTCCATAGCTTCAGTGTGACGAGCTAACTTTCAGTGCTGCCGGGGAGTCGGGTCATAGATAGCAGACTTGGGAACACAGCGAAGGTTGTTTGGTTTGGTCATCAATCTCAAGTCACTATGGCCATCACTCAAACAACACCAATGGCCAACAAAGCTGTAACATATATCTCTCTCTTTCAAACTCTTCCGGCTCCTGCCCAGAATGTAACATAAGTCGATACTCCCCGTGTTTCTCATTTCTCATATGCTCCCAAGATTCTCAAATCAAGACCATCATCATGGGAACAGTTCACAGGTCAAAGATATTGTCCCCTCTCACACCCAGTCTTTTCACCCTATGCCTGGGTGACCATGAAAAGGTCAACTCTTGTATTTCTGCTTCATGTCATCCCAGGCAGCTCCTCAGTGGCGAACTAGACTTTCCCACAGGTAAGTGATTCTCTAATGAGACGCATACTATCCCGATGGTGCACCTTCCTAATGTGCCTCAGTCTCCCTACCCTGCTAATTCTATCTCATACTTGCTTTCTCCAGAAAGTCTCAACTCTAACAGACTTGAATTTGAGAGGACGTATAATTTGTGTTTATTTTTAATTTAAAGAGTATACCAATAAGGGAAGAAAATGAGAATGTGAAAATAATATCCAGATAATCTTACTAATGAAAATTAAAATCAGTACACAGCACTTTTCTAAGTATAGAAATAAGCTACCACGTGGTAGGTAAAGTATTTTCCTATGTGACAGATAAAAAATGTAGCTCTTTGCTGAAGTATCGGAAAATAAGAGGTAGAGACAAAGCATCCATCTAACCCTAGTCCCCAGATCCTGAGCTGTCCAATCCCTGCTTGTAGCTGCAGACTGGTCTAAAGGTCTCCCTAGTGTGTCAGCACAGCTGTGCACACTCAGGCAGGGCTGTGATGCGGCTTGCTAGTCATGTGAGGAAACGGGCAGAGGCTAAGAAATGGCTCTACTTTCTCATCTTCTCAAAAGCAGACTCTATGGCTCTAAAATCCATAATCACAGCTGGAGGGTCTGCTAGAATGTCTCCTGTTATGGTATCCTCAAGCATGTCCCCTCCCTGGGCATCCATGCAACCTTTAGGAGAGACTGAGTCAAAGTCATCTAAGAGTGAAGGCTGAGCCCAAGTGTTGGGGCCTGATGATGATATTTCGGGTATAGCCCTCAGCTCAATTCCAGGAGCTTAATCTCCTATTGTCTTTTAGATGTCAGCTGGTTACCTCCTGATGGCCTAGCCACAGTGGAGAATGGCTTCTAGTTTGTATAACAATAGACCTAGGCCCTCAGTAAGCCTACACCCATCATGAGGGCTTGGGGACTGAGACTGAGATGTGCTGTTATGGAATGTCTGAGGGCTTGTGTATGTGCATTCTAGGACCATCTCTAGGATTAAAGGGAGTGTTTCCTAGTCAGCCCTATACACATGATAATAGGTGTCTTCAGCCAGTACCCCTGCTGTTGGAAAGCTATTTAAGAGGATGCTTGATTAAATCATGGTCTACACTATTGACTGAGAGCCCTCCTGAGATAACATGATGTCTCTGTCTTATCCTTAATGCTGCTGGATAGCTAGAACTTCCCTGATCCACACTCCCCCACTCAGGGTTAAGCCTGGGGCTGTTTAGCTGGTTCGGAACACAGCTCCAAAGACATAGGACCCTCCAAACAGCATAGGACTGTTACAGGCTGGACCCTGGCACCAAGAATGGTGAACAAGGATGTGCTGACCAGGGTATGATGAATTGTGCAGACCCGATGACAAGGTCCTTGAAATCAGGGCTTAGGTTTCTCTGTTCTCTAACCCCAAATTTGATGACCATTTGTTTGGGTTACTTGGTACACTATAGGAGATGATGATGTGTGTGACTAAGGTCTATCCTCACCTCCCTGTGACTGCTAAGCACATGGAGTACTTAATTTTAGCACACAAATCTACAAATATCTCCGACACCAGGGCTCAGACCAAAGGGTTTCTGGGAAATTCGTTAGGTGTTGGTCTTTTACAACACAGGTACCACCATCTTTTCAACCCTGTCCCATTTTCTGGCACTGTGTTTCCATGTGAAATGACTTACTTGGTCAACAGACCCTGCCAAACACAGCTAGAAGGGAAATCAGCTACAGTAAAATCCCAGGGTTTTGTGCAAGGGCAGGGAAAGTGCTGATGAAATTATCTCAGTGTTCTCACTCCTTGTTCCTCCATGGGACAGGGAAAGCCTTCACCTAGCAATGAACGTTTTCACATTTGTCACACATGACCTGAGGATAAAGGCAACAAATACCCTCCCTCCCAAACACTGTCTGAAAGTACAACATGATGATCAGAAGACCCAAGTCATGTGAGTACCCTTTCCCTTCTCTACTACAGCCTCAGTTTCTCTAATTGCACAGAGACACAGGTTGCTAAATTTCTTCTGAGAGTCCTTTTCAATTCAACTTTTAAGGAATGATCTCTTAGTCTTTCTGGGGATCAGAGTTTACCTAAGAATGAAAACCAACCATACTTTTCCTTGTTTGTGTGAGAAAACTTAGACATTTAAGATGTACATTCCAAATGTATCATGATCTTCACTGAAATCTGATGTCACTGGAAAAATCTGAGGTCACATTGTGAAAAAAAGCTTTAGTTCTGGAATCAGCCCTGGTCTGTGAGCCACTGCTACTAACTGCCTTCATTCCTTTCTGGTTGCCCAGAATAGCTGGAGGCTGGAACTCAGATCTCTGGACCATGGTTCCCATGATTACCGGCAGCCGACTGTTCTTTGTCAAGTCGGCAGGGGTGTATATATTCAGGTAGAGACAGTCTTCAGAAAACTGTAGAGGGATGTTCTCCTTTCTGTTGGTGAAGAGTTCTGAGAGCACCTGTCCTCCAACTGCATCTTGGGAGCACCTGGGAGGGGAAAGAGATTAAGGTTCCACTTGATTGAAGTTTGGACTTATTAGCCAGAACCCAAATCTGTACTTGGAGTTTTGAGCAAGAATTGAAGTTATTCTCATGGGACTGGAATCCTTGTCAAAGATAAGAGTCTTTAGGTTCCTGGTGGGACTTCTGATATGCTAGATTCTCCCAAAACTGCAGAGGGAGGATTGGGCATCTCTCTCATTCTGGAGCTTTTGAGGTACCATGGACCATACAGAGAAGTACTCAGCTGGGATCTTAGACACCCTCAAAAGTACCTTGCTGAGGGCATAAATACTGTCAGCACCGACATTTTTAGGAAGCTATCTGGACTTTTCCACTCCGTTCTAAGGTTGATTGGGGGACACCAATTACTGTTCAGCTGTGACTAGGTGCTGTACAGATGAGGTGTGAAAACTTGCAGTCACTCACAATGTTCTGTTCACTCACATAGTCCCACCCACACACTCTCAAGCAACACCAAGGTTCAAGGCAGCAGAATAAGGCATCTTACTTCATGCGCTTTATTTTGAAAGAAGCCCCCCCCCAATCCCAGTAGCTTACATAGGAGGGTAGGAAGTGACATTCTTCACGAAGCTCCATGGCTCTGGAGGCTGTGGAGGAGCAAACCTCAGGGATCCAAGAGGAGGCTTGGCAAATGGAACTCCCAGGAAGACAGCCACAGGCTGTGCAAATCCTGCTAACGTGACGTACTTCCCCAGGACTTTGCCATGAACAGTGTTCACCACCGGTGGTGAAGATGGGTGCCCTGTTACACAAGAGAAAATGAAGATACATCAGTAAGGAAAAGGGAGAACTGAATTCCTTGTGGGTTTGTCACTTTAGGACTAATGGAAATCATCTGAACCCTTCTGGAACACGCTTTTAATCCCAGGACTCGAGAGGCAGAGACAGGTGGAGTTGTTAGTTCAAAGCTTTATTGGTCTTCAGAGAAAGTTCCAGGACAGCCAAGGTTACACAGAGGAACCCTACCACCCCCCCCAAAACGTCCAGCTGGAGTACTGGGCATAAATATGAACTTTGGTTTGAACTGGAAGTATTCATCCACAGGATCCTGGTGCCAAGCTACAAACTGGGTGAGACTGGTCAAGAGATGCCCCCTGTCCTCGTGGGGTGGGGATGGAGTGGGGTGGGGGTGGCAGGGGTGGTTACCTTGCAGGGAGAGCAACAGAAACACTCCACTTAATGTTGAGATGCATGAGGCTGTGTCCTGAGGTGGAGCCTGGATAGTGATGGTGCATTGGAAGAAGGATTGAGGCCTCCTGATTGGTCACAGAAGAGCTGTGACTTAGAGCAGCATGGGGAGGAGTGAAATGGGAAAGCGGTAGAGCTGGGGCTGATAGAGCCGGAAGGAGAAAGTGTGCTCTGGATCACAGACAGCACGGCACCTGGCTGGGAAGGGTGAGTGTCCTTTGGATTACCATTGGGAGGGGGTCCATTGGAGAGAAAGATTACCCTGGGTGAGAAAAAGTGCACACAGGGAAGGCCCTGAGTGACTGGGAAGGGGGTTTTACTTGGACAAATAAATAACAGAAGTAGGTCTATGGTAGAGCAGACAAGACGGGTCTAGAATGATCTTCTTGTGGTTCTGAGATAGGCACAGTCTTCCAGGGAGGAGACACTGTCCACCAAACCCATTTGTCCTGTGGTCTCCACTCTTATAGTCTCTACAGCTTCCTCACCTGTCCTGTTTCTACTCTTTGAGAAACCTGCTCAAACCAAGTTGGTCTTTCCTTACATGGCTGGTGAACTTGAGACCCTTGGTCATGGCCACCCTGGGTGTCTTCTCTTGTCTGACCTCAGGGTCTCAGTTTGTCAGAGCATCCCTCATTGGGAGGGGCCTATTCTCTCATTCTTCATCTGTTTTCCTTTGAGTAGAAGCAAATTGTCACCAGTCTTCCTCAAAGCATGTGACCAGAAAAGAAAGGAAAATCACAAATTCAGTGAAAAATGGCCAGCAGAACTGGAGACTTCTCCAGGGAGGGAATCCAGTTACTGTGTCTCAGGCTACCGACAGCCAGTTGCAGATTAGAATATCCGTGATGTTGTTTACTAGTTAATACAAAAAATACTAAGCGGGACTTTCTAGCAGATAGGTACACATAGTCTCTACTTTAGGATATTCTGGAAGGCCATGGAGAATGGGGTGAGAAGCTGACAAATATATCCAATAGTTCAAACGGATGAAGGAGGTAAAGTCTGAGCAGAAATAGCCCGGAGGCCTGTGTTAGCTCAGTTGTGATCTCCTACCCTGAAGTGTGTAGAAACAGTTTACCCCCAGGTCAAGTATCTCATGGCACACAGGACGCAAAAATGACACAGATATTATGCAATTATGTATTTCAAATTATGTAACACATGCCACGCATTACTGAACACCCGCTGTGTGCCCAAGTACCTTTAGTCTTTTTACACAACTCCTCAAAGAAAACTTGCCAGGTGCCTACTCAACAGCTGCAGGCAAGATTTCAAGGCAACATGAATCCGCTACCTAAAGGCAAAAATAGGATAGGACTGCAGGGTAGCCAGCAATGGAGGAACTTTCCGCTCTGAATTTCTGTCTGTTCTTACTCTGCCTTACAGTTTGTTTCAAGCTTCACTTTTACATAGACAGAGAGAAGGTAATAATCCAAACAGAATACTGCTAGCTGAGTACTGGGCTAGACACCAGAGTCAGAAACAAGCTGGGTATCATTGACACTGGGGGATGGCATTCCCAGGTTACCTCAGTTTTTCCTCCATGTAGTGGCACAGACATATACCAAGACCCCTCATTTCACCTCAGCACCTATGGTGAGTTTTGCTCTCTGTATCTGTTGGTTTGGCACGTAAAGATCTGCATTCCCTGAGGGAACTATGACCCCAGGGCCTACCTATTAGAGGCCCCATCCCACCCTCAGCTTCCTAATTTATCTGAGTTTCTTGCCTGGTCTACCTCACCTGTCCTGATCCCCAAGATCTAAACACCAAAAAACCTGAAGACAGACCTAGACCCCCTGAAAAGCTCCTGGTAACTGTCCCCATGCCACCTCCCTCCTCCTCTCTTCTTTCCAGATGAAGTGATGGCCCTTGTCCCTGTCCCTCTACTGTAGAGATGGAGTCACCTAGGCACTGCATCGTCTAGGTACTGCAAAGTTAAGGATATAGTCTTGGAGTTGTTAACTGGGAGTCAACCTTGTATCTGCCTCCTGAGTTTGCATTTTCAACATTTTGCTCGGTACTCTCTATGACCTGCTTGCAGATTGACCAAGAATCCCACAGAAATAGACTAAGCTTTCTCCAGCCTTCCTGTGACAACTGCCTACAGGTGGGTCTCTGGGTGTCTGTTCTCCCCTATGTCTCTGAGAGACTAAGGTTCTTTGGACTTCATTTCACTACTTCAAGAAAGCAAAAGTCACCAAGAGACTAAGACTATTTTGTCCTTGCCCTGAAAGTGTCATCATCCACTTGTGCCCAGAACAAAGACTGAAAATGCACACCCAGATATTTGTAATTTGAAAGAACTTACCCCAAGCTGTGCAAGCAGCAAGAGAAATCCAGACCAGAGGGTAGAGCCACATTGTGGATGGACAAGGGCTCCGTGGACCTGTGAGGTATCTGCTGCTCTTTAGCAATGTTTCTACTGTAGACCCAGGGACCCGCCTCCTTAAGTCTTGCCCAACCAGTTCAGTTATGTAATCTAAAGTGACAAAAAAGCTTTCCTTTCCCAAAGAGCTCCCTGAGTGTCAGTTGGAACCTTCAAGCCACACCCACCAAGAGTTTACCCACTTTTGTCTGAATAATCAGTACCCAATACTCAGATTACAAATGGCCAGAAACCCATCCAACAGCTTCTTATGTAAGTGCCTATCCCTGCAGCGCTCTCAGCTCAATGCACCTTGGACTCTCAAGAGCAGCAGCAGCAGGCAGGTGCCTGCAGACAGGGGAAAGTTTTGGTCTGGGGTCCTTAGAGGAAGCTGGAAATTGTTAAAACACTGCACATCCTCACACTGCTCAGCTGGGAAGTGAGGACACACGTCTCCAGTCTCCCTGCACTGCTATTTCCTAGAATCCATGCTCTCAAGTTTGGAAGGAATCTCACTCTCCAGCAACCTACAGATAAATTAGAAATTATCTTTGCCATATTTCTGCAAAGTGACCTGGCCCACCACACAGCACCTTCAGGGTCAAGGAAATCTACCCTTCAGAGCAAGGCCTTTTGAACACAATATTCTTAGAGTAAAAAATGAGCTCCACAGATCACGATCTTTGCCTCTAAGTGTCCATGCAAGCTGGGATTCTTAAACATTTACCAAGCTGCGTGGCCTCTTTTCATGGGAACTTGCAACAGCAGGTGGTGGTAGGTGGTGCATCTCTAGAATTGCTGGTCCTAGCCTGCTGCAAGATGTGACATCTTCGTGCTTTTGTCTCTTCGTGCTTTTGTGTCTGGGTACCTCTTTTCATCCTGCTGTCATGCATTTGGTTTGTTTTTACTTGGTCCTTTATTTTTAAATCTTCGAGATGCATGCCTAGGCTATTTGTGTTTCCATTTTCATTTGTGTCTAAGTATCTTTTAAGTTCTTGAAAGTCAGGAAATTTTTAACTGATTCATTTTGGAAAAAGTTACGTGAACTGATAAAATAATAGATATTCCACAGTTCTGCAAGACACTGTTCTGTGAATTTAAATCCACTTGATGCATATTTGTGTCTTTTAAAAATGTAGACAGTCATGATATGACTCCTTTTGTTCTGAGTCCTATTCATTTTATTTCCATTTTCATCTCATTTAAGGAATTTTGCAATCATTTCCCCTTCCCCATATTTCTTTAATGAATCATTGTTCTTTGCAAATTATATTGTTCAATCTTCTGACTTGCTTTTTGGTTTCATCCTTTTATGATCTGACACAATGAAAGAAGTTATTGTAGCTTTCATATTCAGATTTCTAAATTCTTCGAATTTGCAAAGACTTACTTCATTATCTAAAATGTGACCCGTTTGGAAAACATTCCATAAGATGATGAAATGATTATGGATTCTGCATCTGTTAAGTGGAATATTCTCTAAATTCCTGTGAAGTCCATATGATGTTTTGGGTAATTTAATTTTACTCTTTGTTGACTTTTTTATTTTTTTATTTTTATTATTTTTTTAAAATTTTAAATAGCTTGTTTTACATGTCAATCCCAGTTCCCTCTCCCTCCCCTCCTCCCGCACCCCATCCCCCCCCATCCTCCCACCCTATTGCCAATGCCTTCTGCATAGGGGATATCTAGAGTCTATCATTTCATTCAGGGTAGGGTCCAGGCACTTCCCTAAGAGTCCAGGCAGAGACAGCAACCCTCTTTGTGTTATGGACACATGATGTCTGTTAGTATTCGAGGGATAAACACTGATCCACTGCTCAGGACCCCATAGGTAGCCCAGGCCTCCACATTGACTCTCACATTCAGGGGGTCTGGATCAGTCCCATGCTGGTCTCCCAGCTGTCAGTCTGGGGTCCAAGAGCTCTCCCCCTGTTAGATCAGCTGTCTCTGCTGGTTTTGCCAGCCCATTCTTTGCCAATTTGCTCTTTGCTCCTCTCTCTCTGTCGCTGGGTTCCTTGGGTTCTGTTCAGTATTTAACTGTGGGTGTTTGCCTCTGCTTCCATCAGTCACTGGATGAAGGCTCCAGAATGGTTATAGACATCAAGTTCACTATCAAGAATAGGCATTCGAGGTGGTCTCTACACTATTGCTTAGCTTGCCAATTGGTGTCACCCGTTTAGATCACTAGAGGTCACAATGGTGCCTGATCTGTCTTCTAACCTATGATTCCCTCTTCCCTCTATCCTACCCCCCCCCAGTCGACCTTCCTGTTCCTCCATGTCCTACTCTCTCTTCCACTTCTCCCCCTCTCTATTTCCCAGGTCCCCCTCCCCCATCCCTCGCTGTGTTCCCCATCTGTTCAGAGGATCTTGCCTCATTTCTCTTCTCTTGGGTACCATGTATATCTTTTAGGTTCTTTCCTGTTTTCCAGACTCTCTGTCAGTGGAAGTGCAGACTGGCACTCTCCTGATCCATGTTTAAAATCCATATATGAGTGAGTACATACCATGTTTGTCTTTTTGTGACTGGGTTACCTCACTCATGATGGTTTCCTCCAGTGCTATCCATTTACCTGCGAATTTTATTTTGATGATCTCCCTGTTGCTAAGAGGAGGGTACTGAAATCACCCACTGTTTTTGTACAAGTGCTCCTGATGTTACTGTTATTGTTTTGGTACCCTACCATTCTGTGTATTTGCAATCACTGTATTTTGTGTACTTACCTGTATGTCTCTTCTGACTCATTTGGTCATGGAGTCTGTTGAGTCAGGTTTTACTATAGCTGCTCTTGCTTGCTTTCAGACTCTGCTTGCTTGGATGCCCTTTCCCCTATGTTTGTGGAAGTTTTTCATGGTGAGGTGAACAACAAATTGTTGAGTCCATTTTTTTTTAAACAATCTAATCAGCTAGTCCATGTCTTTTAATTGGGGGAATAAGACTGTTAATGGTCTTTGTTTTTAAGCAGTCCGTAGTAGTTCTGGGGCTGGCTTTGTTGTTTCCACTCGTTTTGAGTGGGCTCGAACTGCTTCTTTCTCTTCTGTTTTCCAGAGGTTTGGCAACTCACTGATTTAGCAAATGCTCGAATTTTCATGATCCTTATTTGCTTATTTTCTCTTTTCTTGTGACTCAGTCCTTCTGTCGCCATAGTAGATTTTGTCTTATTTCTGTAATGCCGGCTTAGCACCCTCAAGGATGACTTCATTGGTAGAATGATCTAGATGGGCTGTTATTTTTATTTGGCAGTTGAAAACAAAGGGGAAAGTAACAGAATGTACTAAAATGTTAGAAATCAATAAATGTTTACAAGTAAATGACTAGAATAAAATGCAGAATATAGTTAAGAGAGACAACTGTGAAAGGGAAGAAACAGGTACAATTAAACAGCAAAATAAGGGTATGTGGGATGGCTCAGTGGGTGCCGTCAGTGCTGCCTAACCACCTGCGATCAATCCTCCTGGAGACCTGCACAGTGGGAGTAGAGGACAAACTTCTATAAATTGTGTTTGTAATGCTCACCATGCCCAGCAGGAGACTTTGTGAGTTGAACCAATTGTTCCTCAGATGCTCTGATCATCAGAATGAGCTGGGCTGGGTAGCATCAGTGCTATCTTGACAGCTGAACTGATGGTTGGATGGTTGCTAGCGCACACGTTTGTTTGGCCTGCTGGCTTGAGTGGAGTGTGGGTTGTGATACACTTGAGTGTCTGTGGAGTGGAGTGATAGATTGACACTGTTCCCTCCCCCACCACACAGGTGATACTGGAAAGCCTCCCACTCAATCGCGTGACTGCCTGCCTTCCCAGAGCAAAATAAGCTCTCAAGACTGACTTCTTGGCAGTTAGCCAACAGAAATTTGCTGTGGGTTCGTGCAGACATGGAAATGCTGGGAGTATTTCTTCCAGTGACAATCTTAATTAGACTCTGCTTCTTTCTTACAGGGACTGTGTCTCCCCTGAAAACCCCCCATGAGTCTCCTGTACGGTCGTTTAAAATCCCCAGTCTACTTAATTCAACGCCTGAGTCATTACTCAGTCTAGATCAGCTGCTCCTTTATTTTGTCTCTTGCTAACCAGGTCTTCTTTTCTGTGGCTGCAATTTTTGCATTTAATATTTGATACAATGTCTACAATAAAAGAAACTGAAGTAGATGGTATTTATGAGGAAATATGAGCACTGCATGCTTTTCTGTTAGTCTGATAAAACCCCCATTCTTTGAGTGTGCGTGTGTGTGTGTGTGTGTGTGTGTGTGTGTGTGAGTGTGTGTGTGTGTGTATGTGTGTTCTAAAGGGCTTGAAATTTTCTAGCATAGGATATTCTTTTTGTTGTTGTTCTTTCCTTAGCTCCTCCAAACTACACTAATGTTAGCAGCAGTCCTTTTCTTTTTTTAACACTTATCCAAGGGCTGATTCTGAAGGGCTTGTGTCTTGCTTGGTGCTCAGCTTTCAGCCTGACCTGTGCATGCACCCTTGGCAGGAATCTCTCCCACACAGTCGTTTCATTTAGTCACATTTCTCAAACTTGATACTCAGTAGCGGCTCGCTTGAATGTGACATCCAATCCAGTTTCCAGAACTCTTAGAGGACTCCTGGTCCTGGACATTGGAATGCAGATTTCTCTGTGAACTTGTTCTTCTTGAGCAACAAAAGACTTCTAGTAACACTGCCCAGGACAGTTTCCCTCTGCTCTCCTGGGTGTGAATATATTTTCTTTTTCTTCAGCCTCTTTGCCATGCCTTCAGAGGAGAGAAAGCCTTATACTTTCCCCCTTATGGACGTTATTGATCAGGATAAGGCAAGCCGGGCAGGGCTTTATGTAGATGCCACCGCCTGTGCTTCATTGGAGAAGTCAGTTATGTGTGTAACTCCTCCTTGGATTTCTGGTTCCACGGACTTTATATTCTCCTATTACACCCCACTTAATTAATATTCCGCTAGACTCTTTAAAATCAGGTTCTTCATGTGTTGATGATGTCATCACTCAGAAGCAGAGGGAAGGATGTAGGGAGAGATCTTACGTACCCACAGTGCTATGGGTACGTAAGATCTCTCCCTACAAAGAGAGAACATCTCCTTCCCCGCAGCTCTCATATCCCCCCTCCCATACGTTCTACATACCTGTGACCACGCCCGTAGCACTGTGGGTACTAAGATCTCTCCCTACAGAAGGTGAGTGGGGATCCCCATTTCTCTCCCCCCAAGGCCTGCTCTCCTCTAGATTTCTGGATCATCATTCCCTGACTCCAGTCAATCTCTGCAGAGCCATCTCTGGTCACGTTTTTCTCTCTGAGGAGCATAGATTCATCTCCAATCCAGGTTACCGACCTTGATTTGATTTACAAACCAATATTTATTTCCCAAATTGAGTCCTCATGTACAAATATTCTTTCTCTCTGGCCTCTGCCCACTCCCACTGCACAGTTCCCTAGTCTCTCCAGTAACCCATCATTAGCCAAAATAATCTATTGTGGAATAGGTTCATTTGTGTTTCCCTGGTCTTTTGAGGTTGGCAGAGCCTTCCATTCACAGCTCGGTATGTCCTGTCAGGGGTGGTTTCTTAGCCAGTAGTTCAGTCCATAAAGCTACTTCCTTGTCTTTTAACCTCTGGGCTTGTTGAATGGTAGCTCCAATCTGCAGGTAACCTTCTTTCTGGTCATACTCTGGCCAATGGGGCAGCCCCTTCCCATTGGGGTTCCTGGGAACAGAATCAAATAGAATCCTTAAAGCTGCTGTGTGTTTCAGGCATTCCTAACACATGTATGTGGATGTCTGGTTTATCTCTTCCAAAGACTCATGCACCAAAGAGATGGGAGCAGCGTTGACTCAACCCCGGGTCACAGGGTTAGAGTCGATCACTTAAAATTTAAAAGCCGTCCCTTCCTATTGGGTATCCCTATTGTGTCCTCTTACCCACCAACCCTGCTCCATCTGGGTCACCACACTCACCCATTCCGAGCGAAGTTTGCCCAGAATTTCATCACCGTCTTGCTGAGATTGATCTCCTCTTCTGAGGCGCCATCTATGAGTGATAAAGATAATCCTTTTGAGTCAGTTCATGGTCTATAAGCTAACTAGTGGTATCACTTGGGAGATTTTTAGAGAAGTCGGGTTTGGGCTTTCACACCAAAGCCTTTGAATCAAAATATCCATTGCTAGAAGATCGAGTAGGGTTGGTACACCATTTCAATTTGAGAATGACTTATCTAGGACACCACAGTCAGGTAGTGCATTCTGTTGGTGGTGACCCATGTCCAATGCCACTGACCTCCTTGATACGGAAATGCTATAGGTAAACAATTCCAGTGAATCACAGGATTCAAGTGATTTCTGGACCTCACATCTTTTCTTACTATTCCTCACAAACACACAATTAGATGTACAATAGCCCTAAGACATAATCTTGGGGGCTGCACAGGGTGTGTCATAACTAGCCAAAGAGTGTCTCAAGGCCAGTCATTAATCACAGTAACTGCTGGAAGTAAAGGTATTGGAGATATTCCGAAAGGTTTTCTTTAGATACTATATTATAAATTATAGATAAAGTATCACATGTGGCTAGGCATGCATATAGGGGCAGAGAGATGCATATGACAGCTGACTCATGGTCATGGACAGCTTGACCTCACCCTCACTCACATCCTGATACATCATTTTGAGTGGGAATTGAAGCATCAGTGGCATTCTTGTCTTTCAATGAGACACTCAGATGACCCCCTTTTCTTGGTCTAGATCCAGACACAGAGTATTGCTGGATTCCCATGAGTATGAACGTTCCTATGCTGGGGCAGGACCAAGGCTTGCTAACTTGACAATTGAACTCAACTCTGTTACCCTGAATTGGGCAATGAACATCAAGAGAGGAGGAGAAATGTGCTCAAGGCCACATGAGCAAGACTGGAACCCAGAACTCCTAACCACAAGCTCACAGGCAGCAAAGCAGCATAACCTCTTAAAATCGGTGCACCGAAGACAGAGTAGACTTCATCTCCGTGGTCTCCTATCACCGTTTTGGGCTTCATTTCTGGTGAGAAGCTTGGGCGATATTGAAACTCATACACGTAGGTGGGGGCTCCAGCATCTGGGAAGACATGGATTCATGTACAGTTCAAGTTGCCAGACACAAGCCTCAGTGGTTTTGAGGGCTCAAAACCCTAGAAGTACCTTACAGAAACCCTTAGAGTTTTTATCATTTAAGCACAAAGATAATGATGGATAACACAAGACAAATAAAAGGCATGAAAGTCAATGACAAAGAACAACAAACAATATTCAGAAAATCTAGCATGGCCTTGACAATCTTGGTTCTTAGTATAGAGACAAGACAAAGTGTTATAAAAACACAACTAAATCAAATGATATCTGTAGCCAAACTATTTTCATTACAAAGTGATATACATTCTCATATCAAAGACACAAAAGGGTATATGGTAGAGGGATGTAAAATGGAGAGTTGTTCTATCAATCAAAATTGTGCCTAGTGTCCTATACCAGAGCGTCTCAGTATAAATTAAGTGTTAGAAGATCTGAAAGGTCAGATTTTCAGATATAAAATTCATAAGGAAACACAGATCTTGATCAGTATTTTGAAAAACCAATCTAATAGCATTGTGCATAATATTCCACCCAGCACCAACACAGTACCTATTAGTTTCCAGCACTCATGGGACATTCTGCTGAAACGATCCCATGTGAGGACAAAACACAATTATCAGCTAATACAAGAAGACTGGGATTGGAGCTAGTATCCTTTCTGATCACAATGGATTGAAACTAGTCATCAACTACAGGAGGAATTTTGGAAAATTCATAGACTCTTGGAAAGAAACATGGTTCTGAGCTACTAATATGTCTGTTATGAAACTAAGTGAAAAAAATTAAAGCATATTAAAACAGGGCTGGAGAGATGGCTTGGTGGGAAGGCCTTCGGCTCATAAGAGTCAGGACAAGGGTTTGGATGCCCAGCACATGTGTAAAATACAGCCGACCTTTGGCATTATAGGCTGACATAATCCGAGTGGACTGGAGGCAGAGCCAGGGGATCTCCAGAGCAAACTGACTAGTTAGATAAACCTGAACTGTTAAGACCTGAGTTCAAGCCAAAGGCCCTGTCTCAATATGTAAGATGCAGAGCAACAGAGTTCTGGTCTTTACACTCACACACACGAGTGTAAGAAAATGGAGTCAACAGCATCACAACTTGCCAAAACTTACGGGATATAGCAAAAGCAGTTGCCTGAGAAACATTCATAACATTAAACAATGACATCTAAAAAGAAGCAAAGTATCAAATGACCTACAGTTACATAAAAGGGATTTAAAAGGCCAACAAAGTAAGCCCAAGGATAACAGGAAGAAGAAATACATAGGAGCAGATAAAAAAGCAAAGGCCTAGAGAGTCAGCTCAGCAGTGAAGAGCCCTGGCTGCTCTTCTAGAGGATCTGCCTTCAGTTCTCAGCATCCAGTTGTCAGCTCCTACATGGGGGCTCACAAGCCACACACAGCTCCAGGGGATCCAATTCCTCCTCTGGCTTCCGTGGACACAGGCACACATGGTGCACAGATACGTATGAAGGAAAAATGTCCACAATCATAAAACTAAGAATATTTTTAAAGTGAGTTCTGAAACTATAAGAAAGGATAAGAGAAATCATGAATTTTTTTCGTTCCTGTTTTTAAAAAGAAAATCAAAAAATAACAAACCTTTAATCAAACTAAGAAAAAGAGAGAGGACTTACACAAATGAAAGAAATGAAAGGCCTGGTGTTACAAATGCCACTGAAGTACAATGGAGCATAAGAGAGTATTACAAACTACTTCATACCCACAACGTGGGTAACCTAAGACACAGAAAGATGTTTTCATTCCAATATAGTTTACCAAGAATGAAGTAAGGTCTGGAGAGATGGCTCTGGCTCAGTGGTCCGGAGGTATGGTGCTCTTCCTGAGTTTGTTAATAGCCCATATCAGGCAGCTCACAACCTTCAATAACTACAGCTCCAAGAGATCCAATACAGTCATCTGATCTTTACAGCACTGTGCATACACACACACATACAAACACACACACACACACACACACACACACACACACTACAAATAGGTTGAATTAGTGATAAGCACCCTACCCATGAATAAATTTCCCACATTCTGATGGCTTCACAGATGGGTCACACCAATCGCAGAGAAAAACTAGTATCAACTCAAACATTCTCCCCAAATTTCCTTAAAAACCAAGAAAGTGGGAGTAGTTACAGGAAAGGATTACCTTCAAACTAAAATAAGAAAAAGACATTATAAGAACAATTCAATAGCAAATACACCATATCTTCCATAAGTATAGATAGAAAGCACTCAAGAAAATGCTAGCAATGAACTATAACAGCACATTTAAAGGCTTATCCAATTTGATGCAGTAAGACTTATCACAGAACTATGAAAATGATCCATTTTTGTGGTGTGTAGCATTACAGAATGATGAGCAAAAACCAGGTGGTCGTTAAGGCCAGCCTGGTCTACACAGTGAGTTCTAGACAGCCTACATAGTGAGACCCTGTCTTAAAAAAATAAAAACAAAAGTATATAAAAGGGCCCACATTACACAAAGTGTTCAGTTGGCTCTGTGCAATTCCTATAAAAGTTCCAGTGCCAATATTCACAGGTACAGAAAAGAAATTCTAAATTCATATGAAATATCAAGGATGAGAGTAAACACATACACACACATTCAAACACACAAATGTATATATGCATATAAGTACTAAATCAAGGCAATCATGAATAATAAGAACAATGCTTAATGTCTGATCCAGTACTTTCATGCTGTACTGAAACTTGAAATAAACTTGTACTAAAACTTAGAATAAGAAAGTACTTGCAACAACAACAAAAAGGGAAAAGAAAAGACAGACACACTGACCAATGGAACCCTATAAGGAACTCAAATGAAGCCAAGAGCATAAAGTCAATTTTGGTTAGAATATGGCAAGGCTTTCCATTTCATGAGAAAAATGTGTGTGTGCTGTATTTTTCACCTAGAATAAACATAGTCTCTAGTTATGATGAACTTCTTATGATTGTTGTACATTCCAAGAAAGTAAAATTAGAAAAAAGAAAGTCACTGTAGTAATAGCTGTTCACAAAAGTGGATTTTCTTTCTTTCTTTTTTTTTTTTTCTTTTTTGGTTTTTCGAGACAGGGTTTCTCTGTATTGCTTTGGAGGCTGTCCTGGAACTTGCTCTGTAGACCAGGCTGGCCTCAAACTCACAGAGATCCACCTATTTCTGCCTCCTGAGTACTGAGATTAAAGGTGTGTGCCACCAATGCCCGGCCTCACAAAAGTTGATTTTCATATGCAGAAATGTTGGACACTTATATAATTTACAAAAGACAAACTAGAAAATTGGATTATAGTCTAATTCACAACCAGAAACTAAAACAACAATAAGAAAACATAGAGGAAGAAAAAGCTATGACATTATCTGGAACATGGTTGTCTGTGTTTGACATCAAAAGTGGAGACAACCCAGGCAAAAATTATATCCGATTGCAAAGCAAAGGGAAAATAATGAACATTCTAAACAGACAACCTCTTCTGATTATGTGTGTGTATTTGTATTTGTGCAAGGTGGGGAGTTTTTTCAAATGGTACATGCAACAAAGGGTTGCTATACAAATCATCCAAGGAATGTAAATAATTCAATAATAAGAAGAAAAGCAAACAAGCCATTTGTTGGGTAAGGATCCAAACCTGGGGGAGTGTGACTGAAATCCTAGCACTTAAGACAGTAGTCAGGAGGAGATCAAGTTCAGGGCCAGGGTTAACCTTGTCTAAAAAGAAAGACTTTGTCTTACAAAGAAAATAAAATGACAAGGACTTGAGTAGACAATTTTTAAAAAGCAGCATAAAAGTAAAAATAGACAACAGATTAATAAAAAATTTTTAACATCAATGATCACTGAGAATCACAATGAGACAGTGTCTTTCCCAGTCTGAATATATTTTATGAAAAGCTACTAATAACAAGTAGTGGTGGCAAGGATGAGGAAAAAAGGAAACTCATTCATACAATGTGTGTGCTACAAAGCAAGAGGACAGCATGTAAAGTAAGTTAAAGATGTAGATGGAGTAATGCATGCTTTTAAAAAGGGAGATGTACTGCCATTATGACGTCATACATATAGATTGAGAATATGCTAAATGGACTAAGTCAAGATCTACATAGACAAATATACACACTGTGACTCACATGTAGCCTATGACAAAAGGTCTCAAAACTGCAAAGAGTGAAAGGGTCCCAGGCTGGAGGTGAGAGGTGGGTGGATTGCCACATAGTCAGAATGCTTGTATTCATCTTTGGAATGTTTTGTCATTCCTATCTATTTGTATGTTTTGTTGGATGGGCAGGCCACCATGCACATGTGGTTAGAGGATGACCGTGTGAGCCCCCCGCATTGAACTCAGGTCATCAGGTTTGGCAGCAAGAATCTTACCTGCTGAGCCATCTCACTGGTCCCTCCACTTTTCATTTTTGAGTAACATTGTACAATATGATAAGTACTGTTAATAAAGAATATTTAAAAATGCCGAGAGGAAATGTCAGGTTTTCACTAAGCAAAACTTGCTGAGGTAGCAAAGTCGCAGTAATTATTTTACAATGAACACATAAACTGTGATATCACTTTGTGTTTTTATTATTTATACTATGCACATATTTATTATCGCATTTGCTGTAGATATGAATTTATATGTATATAGCTCATCTATATTCTTACTGTCTACGTATCTTCAATATAGCACTGTGTTCACCCTTTTCCTCTTACCTGCAGCTGGGGAAACTGAAGTGGTAGCAAGTGGCTACTAGTTTACATCATGGTTGCAAACATGAATTTTAAAACCCTCTTGGAGGACTGCACAGATGCCTTGGTGGCTAAGAGAACTTGCTTGTCTTCCAGAGGACCCAAGTTTGGTTCAATGACCTTCTTTTGGCCTCTTTAGGGACCAGAAGAAAGGAACATCTCTCTCTCTCTCTCTCTCTCTCTCTCTCTCTCTCTCTCTCTCTCTCTCTCTCTCTCTCTCTCACACACACACACACACACACACACACTTGCACGTACATAAAAAAAAAAAAAAAGACGAGACCAAGCCTGGTCTATCAAGCTCCAAAACAATACAGAGAAACCCTGTCTCGACAAAACAAAAAACAAATTTTAAAATCATCCCAGAAAGTTAGGGAGGGTAATCCAGAGCATAGAATTATTCACTGGCTTGCAGATTATGGGAGAGAAGAAGGTCTCTACAAATGGGGGCCATGGAGGTCACACCATCCCCAGAGTAAGCTCATTCCCCCTGGCCTCACAGCCATGCCCAGCACTGAGTCACATAGGAAGGTCCTGTGGCAGACATCAATCTGCACATACTGCCACACTAAGATGGACAGAAGCTAGCCAAGAATACTGAGAGTGTCTATATTCCTATTCTACACAGGTCTTCTCCCTCATTGGCCTCCTTGGTCACAAACAGCCTTCCTGATTCTTTATCTCATTCCTACCCTTCCCCAGCTCCATTGCTAATACTCTAAAACTAGCCCTGGCCTCCAACCCCTTCTCAAACCTCATCTAGTAGTTGACCTCTAACCCCATATACCAGTATAATTTCAGTTAAGGAGACCTGTGACAGATGGTGTGTCACTTGTTCCTGTTTGCAGCCTGAATTCTGTCTGCCTCCACTATCTGCCACACTACCTGAGGGCTCTTTGTCTGACTACTACACACTATTTTGCCTACTTTCACAGCAACCCAACACTCAACAGAAACAGTATCCATTCGGACCAGGCTTAGCCTACAGCAAGTGGTCAAGGATGGATAAATACCCTGATTCCCTACTAATTAGGTGGTATCACCTTGAGATATGAGTTCTGCTTTTTTCCCAGCCCTCCCCAGCTCCAGGAATAGATGCTTAGTCAGGCATCATTCATTAGCCTCCGTTTCTTTTCAGAGTCACCTCCTCATCTCCCAACTCATATTTTCTGGGATCAATATCCTTTTCCTCCCTTGCATTTCAATTCTTTCTTCAGATAATGATGTCACAAATCAAAGACGCCAGTGCCAAGATAAGGCCAAAAGATCAGTTTTAGAGGCTCGGTGTCCATAGTTTCCCCATGTGCAGATGCCAGGAGGTATGGCAGTCAGAGAGACAAGTGATAAAATAAAGGGTCCATCTCCTGTCCAACCTCTGGGACTCACCTCTATGTCCACGGGACACAATCACAGATGGGACACCAAATGCCACATCTCCAATCAGCTCCAGAAGTTGGTGTTTATTTCTGCCTGGGTCTTCTGTGTCTCCTAAATACTTTTGGATGGCAACTGGAATCTCATCCTCAGGGAGGTTCTAGAACAGACGAGGAAAGTGACCACTAGCATGTGATTTGTGTGGCTTCTCCAGCTCATTGATTATGAACTGCTTGAGCCCAGGACAAATCCCTCCTGGGTAGTGAAAAAATCGGGACAGAAGGAAGACCCCAGTCATTTCATGACATTCAGTGGGTTTGCAATCTGGACAAATTCACAGCTCTTCTTTGTTTAAAAAAGGTTGGCATAAGTGACAAATTGACCTAATTCCATGGGTGCTTACAAGAATAAAAGAGGACTTCTTCAACAGTGATGTAGCCGTCTTCTGGTCCAATTTCACGTCAGAGGGTGGATAGTCCATCATCTGTTTAAAAACATGTTGAAGCACCTGTGAATCCTCAGGAGTTAGCAGAATGAACTAAATAAGCCAAGTGTACTGGTTGGTTTTGTGTCAACTTGACACAATCTAGAGTCAGAGAGGAAGGAACCTCAGTTGAGGAAATGGTTCAGGGCGATCCAGATGCAATGCATTTTCCCAATTAGTGATCACTGGAGGCAGGCTCAGTCCATGGTGAATGGTGCCATCCCTGAGCTGGTGGTCCAGGGTTCTATAAGAAAGCAGGCTGAGCAAGCCAGTAAGCAGCACCCCTCCAAGGCTTCTGTATCAGCTCCTGCCTCCAGGCTACTGCCCTGACTGTCTTCCGTGATTAACAGCAATATGGAAGTGTAAGCTGAATAAACCCTTTGCTCCACAACTTGCTTTTGGGTCATGGTGCTTTTGTTGGGCAGTAAAAATCCTAACTAAGACACCAAACAATTAAGGCAAAGCAGAATAAAATTATTGTGTTGGATTTTGATGGTCAATGATGTGTAATGAGAGCATATATGGAGACTTATGGCAAGCATGTTCAATTCCATTGTGGAAGCAGTGTTCCTCAGGCTGACTTGCCTGAACTTACAGCCATTTCCTACTTAGAGACACCCCTTGTTTGTTTGATTGCCTGAATCTTATCTCTATAAGCTCTCTCAGCCTGGACACTTAGAGCCCCTAGTTTTAGTAGAATGACAAAGTGTTTATTGAGATAGATTTCCAGGACTGGACCATCCAGGGTTAAAGTTAGCTCAGGAAGAAAATGTCTCAATGGAAGTATCCATGGGTAAGAAGAGACAGATGCCCTAGACACAAGCAGAGGTTGGTGAGGAAAGAACTTATGTTGCAAGAATGATGGGCAGGCAATGGGGGTGTTTTATCTAAGCGGTCTGTTTATGCTCACTGTTGGCAGAATCCAGCCAAACTCTTGCTTGTTGATTCCCACAATGTAGGGCACAGTGTTGAAATTCTTCTCAGCCAGGATCTCTTCAGGCATCTTTGGCAGCAGTACTCCATCAACCACAGTGGGAATGAAGGGATGACTCTGGGAAAGAGAGCACACTTTGCCAGGAATAACCCATTTCCATCTGAGTTTCTAAGGTAGCGTCTAGAACATAAACCCTACGGCTTGGGTAGGGGACCCAGGAATTTGAGGTCCTAAGAAGGAAATTAAGGGACTATATGCCACTAAGGCCTAACTTGGGGTATCTTTCATTGACAAGTTGAGGGTTGCAAGGAAGGTGCAGAGGGACCCTCAGCTGAAATAAAACATATATCATTGTAGAACATGTATTTCTACATCCGGAATGATACTCTCTATCCCTGATAGTTATGCCTGTAAAGTTGCCACGAATACTGCATTAATGACTCCTGAGCCAGCACTGATGGGGAATTCTGGAGCTAGGTTCCTGGAACCCTCTGCTCACAACATTGTCATCATCCTTGTATCATATGTGGGTCCCAGTTTTAAAGACACATTATATAACACAAATTTATTTCAAAGAATTAGCATACGTAGAATTTATTATACTAAAACTCCAGATCAATAGGGCTTAAGATTTCCCCAATCATGAGTCACATGAGAAGAAATTTCTTTGTCTTCAGAGTCACAATCATGAAATCTGCTATGGTTTTTAAATGCACTGTCTCATGAATCCACTACCTAATAATCCATTATTTCATTTTCTATCTCTTCCTGACTTTGTCACACAGTAGAGGTATCACATGACCACTCTTTAGTATGGATTCCCCAAGAGCTAGGCAATTCTCTCCCCTTTTGGGGTTTATTGCCATGTTGACTCATCAACATTGACTTCAAAGTTGAGACGCACTATAACTCAAGCCTGACAGAAGCCTGCCATCAGGAATGTTTCCTCCATAAGGCTCCTCACAACCTGTCTTGCTTGGGGACCCTGGACACATCAGCATCACTAGGCTCTAAGGCATCTTAATCAGAGAAATCACTTAAAGTAGCAAATACTTGGCAGTAACAGTCCTCAAGCTGGACACGTGTGATTATTAATGATGAGACAAGAAGATAAAGCTTTATTGCAAATAGGATGCTAGGACTACATGACTCACACTTGGCTCAAATCTCTCATTGCTCTGTCTGGGTGCTGCAGACGACCACAGTAATGTCACACCTGTGGACCTGGGGCTTATATGTTCACTTTAGCAAGTAACTAAATCATAGTTTATAGAATCTAGGATTAACGGTGAGCAGCATGTCTGTATTTATATTCTAAATTAGCTGTTTTTGAAAAACAGTTGGACTTTAGCTGTTTGGAATATCACTAAACCATGTACTTGTTAAACATTAACTATAGAGAACAGAGACAAAATACTGCTGAAAGAGAGAAGCACAAACTACATAAACACCACGTCCACTATCAAGTCATGCTGTAGGAGTCAATGCCACAAAGCTACCCGCCCAACAGGGCGGGGTCAAGGTAGAGATAAAAGGAAGTGAAAGGAAAAGGGGCTTCCCTCTTTTTTTCTGCTGGAAGCCCGCCACGCTTCTGACTCCCAGCTTGTGCGACTCTCTCTCTCTCTGGTAAATAAATATATTGTTTTCCCTATAGAGTATCGAGTATCGCTATATCATGCCAAAAACCCCTTCAAGACTGTCCAGACCCCAAATACTGTCCCACTGCTCTAGGCTGGTGTAACCTACCAAGACCCTGTATAACTGCTATGCACTGGCCCCCCCACGTGGGCTCAGCATCTGCCCTGGCTCTTACCTACACATCACACTATTTCCAGACTGCAGCTGAGCCCTCTGGGCATGCACTGCTTCATGCGGGGTCACAAACCCAGTCCTGTCTGTGGTGTCCTCCTTCCCACATCCATGACCAGCTCAGTTTCAG